AGAAATGGTTGTATATAAGAGAGCTAACGTTGTGTTGATACAAGAAATAGTTGTATATCAGAGCTAATGTTGTGTAGATACAAGATATGGTTGTATATCAGAGCTAATGTTGTGTCGATACAAGAAATGGTTGTATATCAGAGCTAACGTTGTGTAGATACAAGAAATGGTTGTATATATGTGAGCTAATGTTGTATCGATACAAGAAGTGGTTGTATATATGTGAGCTAATGTTGTATCGATACAAGAAATGGTTGTATATATCAGAGCTAATGTTGTGTAGATACAAGAAATGGTTGTATATCAGAGAGCGAATGTTGTGTAGATACAAGATATGGTTGTATATGAGAAAGCAAATGTTGTGTAGATACAAGAAATGGTTGTATATCAGAGAGGTAACATTGTGTAGATACAAGATATGGCTATATATCAGAGCTAACATTGTGAAGATACAAGAAATGGTTGTATATGAGAGAGCAAATGTTGTGTAGATACAAGAAATGGTTGTATATATGAGAGCTAACGTTGTGTAGATAAAAAAATAGTTTATATCAGAGAACTAATGTTTTGTCGAGAAATGACGCTTGAGGAAGTAGCCTTCGTTATTTGTCGAACTATATTCACAAGACAAAGTGGAAATAATTTATTGAAATGCACATAGTATTGTGTGCCTCAAATTTCGAAGACATTTAATTTCATATTGCTACTCACACGATTTAAAAAATCAACATAATATATTTAAAGTATTTATCGATACGTGAACATATAATTCATTAGAACACCAAAAGAAAAAAAAAGCAACCAAATAAACAAAAAATGCCTCCCTCTCTACACGCGCGCCGAAAACTGATGATTTAACAAAGTGATTTAGTAGAAAAATTAACAAAAGTGTTTATAGATGATTAAAATTGCACAAAGAAACAGTTGTCTGAAAGTCGTTATTGAATAGTCAGTAAGGTAAAAATCAATATCAAACAATATATATATATATGTATATGTATGATTGTTTCCCAAAACTCCTCAGTGATTCGTTGGGCCGAACGCTAAATATAACCAAATCGTGTTAATGAATAATCCAGAGTGGATAGCACATAGTAAACTAGGACATAACGTACATTTCTCAACATGTCATAGACCACGTCAAAGTCCCTCTCCAAATAACGGTGTTTTTTCTTCAATTTAGATTTTATTTTGTTCTTAAAAAATGTTTTTAGTAGGAAAAACTCAAATTAAGAAATTTCTGCAAAGTAGACATCTTCTTGAGACCACCTTACCAAGACAGATATCACACCTATTGGAGGTTTCAATTGTCATTTGATCTTTATTAATTTGCTGATGAATCTTACAAATCCCATAGGACATCGTGTCAGATTGTTTCAGAAAAGTACCATCCCTGTATGATTGCGGCAATATCCAATACCAATTCCTATGTCTGCACGCTTATGATATGGGAAGGTCTTGTTTTGTTTTTGATTTTATTGAGTTGTTTGAGTCTTGTTAATATGGCATGTCTCGATTAGAAAAAAAAGTATAACAGCGATACTCAGTCTACTTTCTAAACCCTAACTCTTAAATCAAGTTACATTGTTACGTCTGATGCAGTTGTCAAAATTACAAACACAACAATAACATGTATAACACAAACAAAACAAACATGTTTTTTATTACCTAGATAACTAGACACAGAGCTTATATCGCACGTGATGACGTAAAGAAGAAATAAAGTGAAACAAAACAAGTCAAAATCACACACAAATAGATTACATCTTAACCTTACCTCATCCTGCAATAACACAAGGAGTTTTCCCGTATCATCCAAAGGGTCAAAGTTCAGAGGCTGATCAGAACGAAGGAATGACATCACGTGTTGTTATGTCGATATGGATCAAAACTAACCAGTTACATGTACATTCAAGCAGTCTTGGCTGCTTACAATAAAGGAGATACGAATGGACGTTGATAAGTTAGTGTACAATTTAAAAAAGTTATCTTAATAATCAAAATACCCCATCCTCCAAAAACATCATTTGCAATATTTTACGGTCCAATTACGTTTAGATTAAAAATAAAAAAAAGACCTTTATGTTTCATTTGATTTTATTTTTTCCATAGAATGAAAACAACTAATTCTAATTATATATAAAATAATTTACTATGAACATACATCTTAACATGAACAGTAGCAGCAGCAACAACAATGAAAATAACATTAACAGCAACGTCGGCAACAAAAACAATGAAAATAACATTAACAGCAACAGCGGCAAAGGAAACAATGAAAATAGCATTAACAGCAACAGCGGCACCAGTAACAACAAAAACAATGAAAAATGACATTAACAGCGGCAAAGGAAACAATGAAAATAGCATTAACAGCAACAGCGGCACCACCACCAACAAGCAAAATGAAAAATAACATTAACAGTAACAGCGGCAAAGAAAACATTGAAAATAACATTAACAGCAACAGCGGCAAAGGAAACAATGAAAATAGCATTAACAGCAACAGCGGCACCAGTAACAACAAAAACAATGAAAAATGACATTAACAGCGGCAAAGGAAACAATGAAAATAGCATTAACAGCAACAGCGGCACCACCACCAACAAGCAAAATGAAAAATAACATTAACAGTAACAGCGGCAAAGAAAACATTGAAAATAACATTAACAGCAACAGCGGCAAAGGAAACAATGAAAATAGCATTAACAGCAACAGCGGCACCAGTAACAACAAAAACAATGAAAAATGACATTAACAGCGGCAAAGGAAACAATGAAAATAGCATTAACAGCAACAGCGGCACCACCACCAACAAGCAAAATGAAAAATAACATTAACAGTAACAGCGGCAGAGAAAACATTGAAAATAACATTAACAGCAACAGCGACACCACCAACAACAAAAACAATGAAAATGACATTAACAGCAACAGCGGCAGAGGAAACAATGAAAATAGCAAGAACAGCAACAGCGGCACCACCTACAAAAACAATGGAAATGACATTAACAGCAACAGCGGCACCACCAACAACAAAAACAATGAAAAATGACATTAACAGCAACAGCGGAAAAGGAAACAATGAAAATAGCATTAACAGCAACAGCGGTACCACCACCAACAAGCAAAATGAAAAATAACATTAACAGTAACAGCGGCAAAGAAAACATTGAAAATAACATTAACAGCAACAGCGGCACCACCTACAAAAACAATGGAAATGACATTAACAGCAACAGCGGCACCACCACCAACAAAAACAATGAAAAATGACATTAACAGCAACAGCGGCAAAGGAAACAATGAAAATAGCATTAACAGCAACAGCGGCACCACCACCAACAAGCAAAATGAAAAATAACATTAACAGTAACAGCGGCAAAGAAAACATTGAAAATAACATTAACAGCAACAGCGGCACCAACAACAAAAACAATGAAAATGGCATTAACAGCAACAGCGGCAGAGAAAACATTGAAAATAACATTAACAGCAACAGCGGCACCACCAACAACAAAAACAATGAAAATGACATTAACAGTAACAGCGGCAGAGAAAACATTGAAAATAACATTAACAGCAACAGCGGCACCACCACCAACAACAAAAACAATGAAAATGACATTAACAGTAACAGCGGCAGAGAAAACATTGAAAATAACATTAACAGCAACAGCGACACCACCAACAACAAAAACAATGAAAAAAGACATTAACAGCAACAGTGGCAGAGAAAACAATGAAAAAACATTAACAGCAACAGCGGCACTACCTACAAAAAATGAAAATGACATTAACAGCAACAGCGGCACTAGTAACAAAAAATAATGAAAAATAACATTAACAGCAACGGCGGCACCACCACCGCCAACAACAAAAACACAATGAAAAATAACAATAGTAGCAGAAACAGTAACTGAAGCAATAAAAACAAGAACAACAACAAGAACAGTAGTAACAGCAAAAACAAGATCGACACTGACTAATTAAACTACAGAACGAATGTGATAAACATACAGGAGTGTTTAACGGTATCAACCTCACGTGCAAGGTAAAGCTAAGTCATGCCGGAGTAGCGGTGAACTGACAACAAACAAGTGGGCAGAAACACGTCAGATTTATCATGCAGAACTATTTCGTGATGACTCCTCATATCTTACGTCTAATGAGACTTAAGGTCGTGGGTATATGCAGTATACCTTTATTGTAATGTGCATATGTTATTTAACTGCTTACTTCCATTAGCCATCCCTGTTCTATCCAACTCTACAATCTGGTACTATTATTTAGTAATAAAGAACACATGCTCGCTTTTTTCCAATACATTTGAACAACTGCTGCTGATAAAAGTGGTTTAAGAAAAAAATGTGACTTATCAGGGGTCAAAATGAAACATTAATGCTACTTGAGTATGTATCACGATGTTTGTTGTTCTGGACAAAATATTGACAAATCTGGAAATCCTATTTACGGCTAAAAATAGCATTGTATTAGTCACGTCATATCAAGTGAAATAGGATGTGGTTAAGGAAATGTTTTAAATGAAGTCCAAAAAACGTGGAAATTTAACGATCTATTGTCAAAAGAATAATAATGAAAAAAAAACCCAAAAAAACAGGCAAACAAATCAAACCTCTATGTTTCTATTTTATACAAAACGTTACTCTGAATTTGTGAACATGTAAAAATACAATGGATGTCAAAGAATGTTTGCAATTCAGACATATTGGTTGTTTGATTTTGATAATTTACTTTCGATCTACGTTTGAACTTTTGACCGACAGTTATTTTAGTTAGCAGTTGGCAGTATATACGTTTTTTATCGTCTTTCACTAATCTATCTCCACTCCAAAACAAGTAAACAACCCCTGTGCGAGTGTCAGATTTTACTCCGCAACAATTAGCCTGCTGCCGTTTACCCCGGAAGTGCCTCACATGGTCTGCATCATTTTGGTCAACAACGACACTCGGTCGAGCATATAATGTATAACGATATTATCAGCATTGATAATAACACGCCAGCAAGCCCTCGGATGGATAATCATTCTGTTATTTACACAATAAATTCACCCCAACGCTGGCAATAAACCCACAACGGACTGAAGCAGGCTCACCATCGAAAGGTCAGTATCAGCCGAGCTCTACATACAATTAATCATATTTAGAGGTCGTTAGAGATGATAAATGTTGTTACATCATTAAGACTATTATATAGAAAATGTTATTTATGAAAAATTATATAGTTAGAGGTCTGTATCATGAATCATTATGATGTGTGTTTTGTATCTAGCTACCATTTGCTTTCCACAGCATGCAGCCTACGTGGATGTATGTGTAGCGGCGGTAGCGGATGGTAGCGTGTATGCTTTATGATAGATATGTTGTTGACTTGAAAATCGAATTCTGCGTCTTCTTTCTAATATTAATGATGATTAACCTTCTTAACGTATCAATGCTATACGGGTTCGTTCAAATAGTACCGTGTATGCTTATATATGTTATTGTTTAAATTCTATAGAAATGACTATTTTGTTGAAGGTTGAATTATCGACGTTTCGAACAATCACTAACATTACGATTATTGCTAGTAACAACTACCATCCTTCATCACAATATAATGATGTCATGAGTAGCTTTAAATCTTTCTTCATTTCCTAGCTGATCATTATCCATATGTATACTAAATTTTAAATATGTATGTTTTTCTCAGTTTCTTCGTCCTGTTCGTCTCTTCGTCCTCTCTCTCTCTCTGTTTCTCTCTCTCTCTCTCTCTCTCCCTCTCTCTCCCTCCCTCTCTCTCTCTCTCTCTCTCTCTCTCTCTCTCTCTCTCTCTCTCTCTCTCTCTCTCTCTCTCTCTCTCTCTCTCTCTCTCTCTCTCTCTCTCTCTCTCTCTCTCTCTCTCTCTCAATTTGTTTCTCGTTCATAAAGAAAGAACGAAATGACTTGTATATTTATATTCCCATACAATTTTTTTCACAATTTTCAATATGGTAAAATCATACCTTTTCGTTGGGCTTAACTATCATGATTAACATACAAACAAAAACAAAAAAAGCCCTTTACTGACAATTCACTTGGATGAAGAAATGGAAACAAATTCCAGATGAAAATTAAGGATTTTACAACCTCGTTATAACAAATTTAGGAATTAAAATTGTCTTTATAACTGCAAAACTGTAAACTTTCAAGATGATTCAAGGGATTGTACAAATATCACTCAACATGTCAAAAGTCAATTTACGTTTAGCATTAGCCACAGTTTAGCCTTGAACATGTCAAGGTTTAATACACAAATTTAGCATTAGCCACAGAGCCTTGAACATGTAAAAATCGAAATAGGAAGTAGCATTAGCCACATAGCCTTGAACATGTTAAAATCGAAATAGGGAGTAACATAAGCCACAGAGCCTTGAACATGTTAAAATCGAAATAGGACGTAGCATTAGCCACAGAGCCTTGAACATGTTAAAATCGAAATAGGGAGTAGCATTAGCCACAGAGCCTTGAACATGTCAAAATCGAAATAGGATGTAGCATAAGCCACAGAGCCTTGAACATGTCAAAATCGAAATAGGGAGTAGCATTAGCCACAGAGCCTTGAACATGTTAAAATCGAAATAGGGAGTAGCATAAGCCACAGAGCCTTGAACATGTCAAAATCGAAATAGGATGTAGCATTAGCCACAGAGCCTTGAACATGTCAAAATCGAAATAGGGAGTAGCATTCGCCACAGAGCCTTGAACATGTCAAGGTCGAAATAGGATGTAGCATTAGCCACAGAGCCTTGAACATGTAAAAATCGAAATAGGAAGTAGCATTAGCCACATAGCCTTGAACATGTTAAAATCGAAATAGGGAGTAACATAAGCCACAGAGCCTTGAACATGTAAAAATCGAAATAGGGAGTAGCATTAGCCACAGAGCCTTGAACATGTTAAAATCGAAATAGGAAGTAGCATTAGCCACAGAGCCTTGAACATGTCAAGGTCGAAATAGGGAGTAGCATAAGCCACAGAGCCTTGAACATGTCAAAATCGAAATAGGAAGTAGCATTAGCCACAGCGCCTTGAACAAGTAAAAATCGAAATAGGGAGTAGCATTAGCAACAGAGCCTTGAACATGTCAAGGTCGAAATACGATGTAGCATTAGCCACAGAGCCTCGAACATGTCAAAATCGAAATAGGGAGTAGCATTCGCCACATAATTCAATAAATGTCACAATTTTGCAAATACAGAGTAATTTTCAAAGAACGACAAGTTCATATCATACCGTGCCATTATTCAAATAAATTGACTGGTAGAGATACTTATACACGACGTGCTCACTTCGACCTTCAATTAACAGGCAACAAACGGAGGAAGGCTTTTTCCATTGCTTGCTAGTCACAAATTGCCTTGGCATTTTTTTTAATTCAAAATGCAATAATGTTACACATATATAAATTACATATAGGATGCAAAATAAAGTCAAAGCTTATCTTAATTCCTTTCGCAAGTACAAACAGATAAATCTTTGGAAGTGGCAAGCATTTTAGTGACAGGGAATGAACAATAATAAAGTTAAACAATGAACACAGTCATATAGATGAGGTGAATGTTGACGCCTTAAATTGTGTATTGGTAAATACAAGTTACTTTTAGTTAAGAGAGGATGATATTGAAGTATTACAGGTAGAAAACACATCATGGTTGTGACGGTATTGTACTTTTCGAATCAGTCAGGCGTCAATCTCCAGACCAATCCGGAAAATTCAATAGAAACTCAGAATAATTATGACGAATGCGGAGGGTCACAGAAGACCAAGCTCTGCCGTAATACCTCATGTGATAATGATGTTATAATCACAGATTTTCAAATCCGCATCAGATGCCCAGACAGTGAGATAGTGACATTATCAATATCAAGTTGATTGCAGTGTTTAAACCTTGCCCGTCTGAACAAACTCCCGTTTACTCTTTAAATCATTTTCAATAGGTTGACATTTAGGAATTCCGTTTATTGATTATTTGGAATTTCTGTTTTACAGTTTAACAAACCATAAAGACGATGAAGTGCTTAATGAGAGAACTATTTCCTTGTTTGATGTTGTTGGCGCTGTGTTCCTCACTTCCTGTCCGCACTTCTTTGAGAGATAAATCGGCATTGAGTTTACTGAAGCAGGTAAGACTATTAGAATTAATGTTATGACTACGTTTTCTGCTAATTCATTACAACATCAATAACCGTATTGGACCGAATAATGTGCCAAAGCCAGAGTCTGATATCGACGCAATCCATATATTATTGCATAGTGCAATAATTCAACAAAAAGGAATTAAACGGCACTTTCTGGAAATATGGACAAACCTTGGTATAGAGGAGGTTGGCGTTGTCCTGGTGAGTGCTGTGTCATCTCCTACTTCACGGACTTGGTTTTTTTTTGTTTGTCTTTTTCTTTTCCTTTCACTTCCACGTGACACTAAATAAATAACATTTATACCAGGTTGCATATCGATGTCAGTATAAACGTACTATTTCTGCCAATATCATAAGAGTTTACTTTTTGGTAAGTTTACAAGGAAACGCCTCGAGGATTCCAAGATGGCGGTCATTGTATACATGCTGGAAAGTAAAGTAGTTAGGAAAAGTGAGTCGCAATGCTAAGTTTACAACATATTGCTTTGACGCATATGCAAGTTAGTAGAAAAAATAATTGATCTTTCCACAGATGTCAATTGTGTAAAATCATTATCTGTATGGCAACCAAAGTGAGGGTCACTAAAACTTACTGCATTTGTATAAGACGGAATTCTGATTATCGACCGCGACTAAGACAGAAATAAAGTCACACAGATAATCAAAATCCTTCGGACTAGTCTCTGTGCAGTGAGTGGGCATTTCGTTGACGCCAATACAAGCTATTTATAACATCGATATTCATTATATTGTGCGATTTGTTTTGATTTGACGCCGTACTTTATTACATTACAATGTAAGTTTATTGATATTCACCTTCGCTCAAAATATCGAAATGCATTGTACCATAATACGGAGCCCGTTAACTGACATGCTCCATACTTATTTTATTTCGTTTTTTCGAAATATTAATTCGTTTAAACGAAATATTATTTCGTTTTTTCGAAATAATAATTTGTTTAAACAAAATATTATTTCGTTTTTTCGAAATATTATTTCGTTTTTTCGAAATATTATTTCGTTTTTTCGAAATAATATCTTATTTCGTTTTCTCGAAATAATAATTCGTTTTTTCGAAATAATATTTCGTTTAAAAACGAATTATTATTTCGAAAAAACGAAATAAAATAAGTATGGAGCATGTCAGTTCGGGCTCCGTACCATAACGTTTTGTGCTTTTCTTTTTATTAAAAACCCATCAAGTCGTTCTTGATATGAAGTCTTTCCGATAAAGATGTCAAAGAAGATAGCAGTAATGCAGATTCCCAGTGACGTAATGGAGGGAAGAAAGCGCGAGCGTCTGATTGTGTTTCCGGACAATGGATGTCGCATCACACATCATGCTATCTGTTTGTTAGACGACTGCGTTTGTCTGTACCTGATCTCAGATCTCTGATAACTACTGAATGACGATCACTTTTCTTAAAGAAATCATGGTATCGATTGACGTAGAGGACGGCCATATTCGTGTTTAAAATAAGGGTCTGGAACATTTTCCTTTCCCGGAAAAAATTATCCATCTTTGTTGAACGTCTCAATCAATTAAATCATGTAAAACAGATACTTCCCCTCCCCCTTCTTAAAAAAAAAGAAAAGAAAAATAGTAATATACATTTGATGTAGTATGTCTGGTCATTTGAGATGTATACATGTTTATCACAATACGGTATCGACCACAACATATAAAAATAGATTGTTTTCCTTACGGAGTCGACCTTGACTTACAATTGACCGAAACAAGCCTTTCATTATGCTTAATCTTGCAGCTAATAATGGCTACTACTGTGTTTGTCATCAGACATTGTGGTATCGCTTTTCTTTAATGGTGAAACGTTTAAACTTTTGGAACACATGGTGCTTTACATTAAGCGCCTTTGTCTATGACCAAATCAATTTTGTGTCGACTTTTGGTAAATTTACTGCAACATTTGCCTGCAATTGGAAATTTTATTTAATATTCTGTTAGCATTTTAGTCATAGTCTAGAAACAAAACGAAACATTTCCATTTCACCGGACACGAGGTCACAGAATCAGAAATACATAGCTACATTAATACACGGTGCCTGACTTTAGATAATTTCTACTAAGTCCGGGATTAGGAATATAACGTCCGAAATACGATTACAGATATATCGACATAGGACATTCTCTATTAGAGACGAAAGTGCTAAATACTAATTAGGTCGCGATTCTGCTAGATATTGACGTTGTAGTATATGTCCCTCCTCCCAAGAATATGTGAGCAGACAGGGTTATTTTGAGGCGGGGTCTCCTTGAAATAACGGATGGCTACCTTACTGAATAACATGTTGGAGGCCCATCGCACGCCGTCCATAGCAAGCAGGGTAACGAACCTTACTCCTGGTCACACTCAAGTCATAACAGACTGTTTCTCAGCTTCCTTGTCTGATAAGATGTGGAACATCTCATATTAACTCAACAAGACTGACGGTTCTTCCGCAGCTCGTCTTGATTCACGTTCTTTCGTTATTTCCTACATCCTACACATGTATTTTTTTTTATTAGTATGGATTTTTTTCCGAATATTAATTTTTTGCTTTTCTTTTTCATTAGTGAAAAAATGGCAAAACATCTTGTGATTAGATTAGAAAGTAGGCAAATCAGAATGAAGAAGTATGAGGAGTAAATATTCAAATCTTCCTTAGTACAAAATGATAAAGCGGCTCGGATTTGGTACAGAAGGCAAATACTACCAGCTGGTATGTTCACGTATCAAACATTTTTTTTATTTTCAACATTCATTGTGATAAATAGATACAATATGCGTACAAAGGTATACGACTCTCCGGGGTTAAATTCTCTAGTTGATGAGGACTACAGGGAAAGTTTATGGTCTCCACCACCTCTCTTGGAAGTATTCTATTTCCCTGAACGATAATAAGCCATTAGATGTGTTCCACGGTCGTTAGTACACCTGATGATTTCGTTATTGTGAACCGGCTTCCCGTTTGAGTGATTGACATTACTTACCTGAACTGACCAACATTTAGAGTCATTGAATGTTCTACCGAAGACAATAACTCTTCCTGAAAACATTTCTTGTATTCTTTTGTGAATTTCCAAGGTTCCCGTGGTAAATGTTTATTTTGTTCATATCTTATCCATGTTTCGTCGATATTGGTTTGACAGAAGATTTTGTAAATATGTCGACGTTTCCTATTTTGCAGAAGCGCTCCGGAGAGGAATCATCAATGCGAGAATCTGTTTATTTAATTGCCATGGTGATCGGACAAATGGATGAAAATCATGACGGCATGATAGACATAAACGAGTTACAGAATCTATTCCTCACAATGAACCAGAACATAGATGTTGATACAGCGCAATACCTCTCGGAGGAGGTGTTCGGAAGTCTGGAATTTGAGCATAATGATGGAAAGCTTCCGATCATTGGTAAGGCATGACACTTTATAAAGTTAAGGATTTTTCTCGGTTTTGTCAAAAGCACAATGGATTTTTTGGGGTTGAAGTAATGAGATGGGCTATTTCTCTATCAATATTACTTTCAATATATTTTCTTTCGCGATTTTTCCAGTTAACCTCTAGAAAATAAGTCTTTCCAGTATGTGATGTCGGTACATGCACTCGCCTTTCACCTAGCCGACCGGGGTTCGATTCCCGGAACGGACGTGAAAAGGTAAGGGGTCACCTGCCCGACCACGTGGGTTTTCCCCGGGTACTCCGGTTTCTTCCCACAATAAGACCCCTCGCGCGCTTACATCCGGGCCAACAAGAGTGATTAGTATAAGTTGACATAACTTGTTTCGCAATTGTTGTAAAATAAATAAAGTTTATATTGTATATATATGTATTGGAGTATAACAATAATACGAGTGGGCAAAGGACAGTCCGGAACATAAAAGAATAAAAACAAGCTGTGTATAGATTTCTTAGAAATAGAATCTGGACTTGTGTCTAATAACCGATTTTGCTTATATTACAACAAATATTTAAAACAATTTAAAACTTGAATTACTCTTGTTATGCATTATAAAACTACGGAGGAGTTCCTGGGGAAGATTAATATGATCGGGCAGGTGAGCCCATTTTCCATGGGAAGAAAGGATTTATATTTGGCTCTTAGCCTTCCGGATATAGAAAATAACTTGGTTCCGAAAGGTTCTAAATTTAGTGGGGGAGACGTAATCCGATTTAGCTTTAGAATGCTGACGATTTCCCTGTAATAAGACGGATTTCACAACTTTTCCAAATTTTCTCCTTTTGTACAAAATTTGTTACTTCTGCAGCAGAAATAAATATGTTTCAGGATTTTAACAGTAAGTACAGGTCATGTTACTCACGTTATACAATATTTTTCTCGTTTTGAAGACTGATATGTAGGACGTCGGATTCTTGACATTTGAAGGAATCCTATAGGGATATGTATAAATGTCGTCTCGGACCTGTTGGCCTCATTCTGTATGACGTTAGTTCACGATTTATGCCTCAGTGTTTAACACAACAGTCCATTCCATTCTTACAATCCTGTTAAAGAATTCCCAAACTTTACACATTAAAGAAGTCGATGTGTTTATAATGCCGTTACTTGTTCATGACCTTTTCACACTAGAAATCTATCCTAGGGTTAGAAATACTTTGTAGTTCCCTCTCGGCTTCTTTCTTGTAGTACGGGTACAAGTTATATTGGCCCGAGGTCAAAAGTGGCGTACAACATTTCACGCAAGGTTGTTTCCAAATGCTTGTAAATGTGACTTTAACTAAAGAATAAGAAAGTATGGATCTATACCCCTGAACATTCACGATTGAACAGAAATTATTATTTAGATAACATGTTATTCAAATGGATTTTATGTTGGATTTCACAACCGGAAGTTCTTAGTCTGCTATTGCAGCAAAGAACACGCTGCGTTCTGATTAGTCAAATTTGAGATATTTTATGAATAAAAGTGGTACCAAAATCTGCCTGCGGATGTCGTCATGATTTAAAGGACATACCCTTAGTAAAGGTCGTCCATTAAGAATTAAAGGGAGACAACTCCAAAAAAGGGCAAAATAAAAGATTAATAATGAACCACATTTCTTTTAAACACATATTTTAGCAAATCACTGGTATTTTCCTAGGCTGCCTCCTAGGTTTAAAAATTAATGTCCTTGGCGTCATTGAATCAGCTATATGATGCAATTCAAATCTTTGGCTTTACTATTTATCTATTTCTAGATATAAATCCCTTATTTTAATTTCATTTTCGAATTGTTTTTTGTTTTTCCAACAGATCTGGCGATATTCTTTGATTCAAACTATATGGGAATCTTCTGATTGATAACATCACACAAAATGGATGAAACTGGACCAACCAAATAGAAGGATACTAGAGGATGTGAAATTTTCACAATATGAAGTTTTCATTCTTTCAACAAGTGATGGGACTGTACATTCCAAAGACTCCTAAAGCAATCTCAAGTGTATGAACAGAGGATTTCAAGCTATATTCATTTCATATGTTGTGGATTTTCATTCGATGGAATTTTAGTTTATCATTTATGTTTGGCTCTCAGATGTCAAAATTTGAAAATATTAATGAATAATAAGAAAATCAATATTTGATGAGTAAAGTACCATATATTGATGAAATTCTCAAAATCAATATTTGATGAGTAAAGTACCATACATTGTAGAAATTCTCAAAACCAATGAAAATCATTTAACTTGTCAAATTAATTAACAGGTTATCAAAACGATGGAAAATTAAAACTTCTCCAGACAAACAAAAAATTGTTTTTAATGTTTGTATTGAAGGTCTGGAAAAAATTGTTATCAATTGCCCCCAAAATCTATCAAAATGGCACTTTTTCAGCATCTAAGCATTTCCAATCCCTCTCCCTCCCTCCCCTCCTCTCTCTCTCTGTGTATATATATATAGTGAAAATATGGTAAATTCTCTGTGTCCAGAAAGCATATAAAAACTTTGCCAGTTTTTTAAGTTTATATATATATATATATATATATATAGTTAATGAAGATATGCAAGTGATAATATAAAGAAAATTGTTAAAAAAAACAAACAAGAAAAAGTTTTTCTTGTGTGTTTTTTTAACAATTTTCTTTATATATATATATATATATATATATATATGTGTGTGTGTGTGTGTGTCCTAAATACAGCAATGCACTCAGATACCAACAGATGTGAAGCATTTTCACATGGTTTGGAGAAAGCAGAAATACCAGGCACAATCAACAAACAAAACAGGAAGTGTAATTTTTTTATTGATAAAGATAAATATTTAAAATACAATACAATGCTACAAAATCAATTCAAAACAGAAATAAACAAATTTCTTTTTTTCATTTCATTGTGAATATCAAATTCAGAAGAATCTTTCTTGGATGATAATTAGATTTTACAAAGCAAAGCACTTGAATCAATAAGAAGATCATAGGTATGATGGGTATAAACAGCAGTGATAGATCCAACACTCCACCACAAACATACATGTTTATATTATACTAACAGAGCTTCATATGAAATAGAATTACTCATTATTTATATTCAATCAAGATGATCATATCAGCAGTAATTCCCAAACCCACAGACTCAATTGTATTAATTTCAAGCTGAAATTTCAAAGTTATCAAAAAGGTAAGCAATATTTCGTGTCATTTTATCGGTCAATAACAGTGAGGTGACACAAAAATGAAATTAACTTGTTGATAAAAAAAACTGATTTCAAAACTTGTATCAAAATAACTGGACTGGTTAGAGTTTCAGAGTGGTTGGTTCTAGGTCACTATCACAACTTCTAAAAAAATCTTTTTCAGCCATCTAGCTGTTTCATTCTTGACGGATTTTGATAAAACCACACTTGATATCCCGGATAGATTAAAGTTTCAGGATTGTTTGGTCAAGGTCACTTAATACAGCAAACCAGATGCTTCACTACTTTTAATCAATTTTAACACACAGTTAAAGCACTAGAACAAATTTGAGCTTCACGGTTGTTGGGTCAAGGTCAAGACAAAGGTCACTGTTACTATTTTAGAAAATAGTTACTAGTGCTCTAGTGCTTCATTTTGTACAGGATTTTTTTCAAACCTCACACACTTACAAATTACAATAACATATTATTGTAGAATGGTTATAAAAATGTTTTGTCAGATTGTCATACTTACTTATTGCATCATTACATTAATATCAAAATTTTTCTTTCCCCCCCCCCCTAATTAACACCAAGCATCTTTATAAATTCTTACAGTGTAATAGCATGTATTACTTTAGCAATACTCAGAATGCTTGTTAAAACTATAAATCTGTTTTCAATGTGAATTATTGTCATGAGATAAAAGATACTTCCAACGCAAGGATTTCACCAGATATTTGTCTTTTGTTAGTGGCTGTGGTCTCCCACGCCACAGATGTAAAGTAGAGCTATGGCTTCAGGCATATCGGAATAAAATGGAAATCTGCTTGGATCAATTATCTTTGTGATAAAAGATTATCTCAATGTTATATCTGTTTAAAAATTGATCGGTTTTAATCATTTAATCACAAGATTTGCCCTGTATCAGCATGTCAGTCTAACACAACACAACACATGCCAGATGAATGTCATGACATCCATGATGGGTCAAACACCAATGGGAAAAACTGACCGCCCATCTTTTCACCCTGAAAAACACAAGTTACCTTTGATCTGAAATCACTTCAGACAATTATACGCCTGGGATCTAGAGCTTAAAAAACATTAAAACACTTGGGATCCAGAACCTACAGATCTGCCTTCTGCTGATATTTATGTATTTTTGTTTTGATTAAATATTTCCTAAGAGTACAATATCTGCTACCTTTGTAGGGCAGTATCTAAGGTTAATTTCCGATAACTGATCCTATTTTCTGTGTTACTGACAGAAATATAGTATCAGATGTGGACAAAGTAATTCTGTACAAACCAACAGATGAGAGATAAATATGCAATTATCGTAAAGTCCTTTTGAGTGATCTGATAAGGCTAACTCACTCAGGCATAAGTTATAGCCAGTATGTCACTGCTGAACACTCTCCATACAACTCCCCACGTAAACATGTTCAATCATCAACTTCACTGCTGGTTATCTTGACTCTTTGAATTTCAGTTATCTCACACCTTTTTCTGAATTATTTATGTAACCCAGGTAAATACAAGCCACAATATACCACCTGGCTAGGGATCGTTTCAGAGTCAGACTAGTAAGTCAGGCATCTTGGGTTCAAATCTTAGCAGAGACATTGAAAACAAATATAACCTCAGTAACATTGATGCCCATGTAGGGACTAGGAAATTATACTATTGTTATTTTCTTAAGTACTGCTGTAACCCCTGGAAACATGATGACAAGTTATTTCCTGGAGGAAGAGTATGTAACCCTGGTAAATACTACTCACAACATACCACTACCCAAGGGAGAACTTCTCTTTAGCATTAGACAAGTAAGCCATGGGTCCTGGGTTCGAATCCTTGCAGAGGCATTGAAATAAAAATGACCTCTGTTACACCTACTTTAGGGTTTACAAACTCCTGAATGATTAGTTATCTTCCCAAACTCAGGTATTACACCTGATATTGACTCTTCTTCAGAACTATCTCCCCTTACTTAGGGTTGAGTCACTACAATCATATGGTTCATTAACATCTTTATTATGAGTTATCTCCCCTACCTTTTGTTCTCAATTACCATGGACTCCCTTATGCTCTTCTTCCATCCCTAACACCCTCCCTACAAAAGTCTCATTGAATCATCACCATTTCTTTAACAATTCATTTATATCTGTGTTATGAATGTTCTCCTCTGTTTGTTTAAAACTTTTCAATTATGCGATTATCTCCCTACCTTCTGAGATTTTTAAACTTCCCTTACTTCCCTTTCCCCATGTTACACTACCCCATCTATAATGAGTTCAAAAAGTCTCAAAAGTTATCTCCCCTACCCTTTGTAATACTACAGCCCCTCTTTTATCCATAGTGATTCATTTCCCCCTACCAAACCCTGATAAATCACAAGTTATATGTACCTGAATTTAACTTTGAGTGATCATTCATTCTTGTAGAACAATCACTTCAAATTATTCAAAAAGATAATACATTTATTTACAGTGACCTCCCTTACCTTTGGAATTTTAATGTCTTTAAGTAACTCTTCATTGGTGCTTGATTTCACTCCATCTGCAAAATAGTTCAAAACTGCTGCCCGTCTTGGTCCATCAGACCTAATGTAAACAAAAGAAAATGGTCACACTCTGCAGCCCTTTTTTATAATTATAGAATATATGCATCTCTCATGTAACTTTCATTTGTGGTTGAACATAACAAGAGGTCCTATGATCCTGAATTGCTTGCCTCTGACAGTGACAGTTATGACATTTGGTCTGTTGTTTAATGATAATAAGTCATTCAAATTGAAGAGTTGATGCCAGTTGTAAGGGTGGACGCCACGTCATGGCTGAAGCTCACATGGCCCTTTGGGCCAGGAGAGCTAAAAATCAAATTGACCAGCAAAAGGTAAGGCAGGTAAATGCTTTTTTAACTTGTAATATAAGAATTAATGTAGAACATGTCTCCGCTTCATGTAAGTAGATGTATTGCTGTTTTATGAATTTGCTTAAGTTTTCAATGTGATATTCAACTTTTTGATAAGGAGTACAACTTGTTGTTATGTTGCTATGGGGTAATCTTGAATCAAATCTATTATGGGGTTCTCAGCATAGGAGATACTGAATCTGAATGGGATGGGACAGAACAACATAACCTGTGTAAATCCCCCAACCCCCACCCTCAGCCCCCTTATCATATCATATGTGACTCATCAGAATTCTAATCCCACAAACTCTACTTTAAAAGAAGCCCACTATATTGTTCAATCATCAGAGTTATTTGATGGTACAGTAGAACCCACTTAATCTCACATTTGTAAGTGTCACTTTCTGGTTAATATCACGTTTTCTTGAAACACCAATTGTTTCCCTATATATTCTATGTAATCCAACATCTGATGATGTCACTTATTTTCATGTGGACAATGCTTAATATCTCTTCATTTTGCCAACTACCACAAAAACAAAAAAAAAAAAAAAAAAAAAAAACGCAGATTAATCACAAATGAGGACTGGATATATGGATTCATGCCTGAAGGTCTTAGGTCTGATGTTGGTATCAAAACTTGTTGAAAATGTTGGAATATGAACAATAGGACATCAGCAACTTTCTCCTTAAGTGTGAAATCAATAGCTTCAGTTAAATATTGATTTATTAAGTTTCACATGGGATTTACCTGTTTCCGTAAGATCCGTGTACAGCTAGAGCATGGTGAAAACTTGCGTGACCTTTACGGAGTTTTCCACACACTGGTTTAAACTGCAGTTTTTCCTCCTCTGTAAGGATAGTCTGCAAAGGAACATAACTAATGCATTTGCCAGAATCAATGAAATGTTTACTGTATCAGTCTGATTAACATTATAACCTTAATACAATTCAAGCTTCTAAAGGATACTGATCAGTTTATACCAGCATCAGTACCTTTGTTTTACAGTAATTTTATGCTACATATCAATACTACCAATAACAACTATGGCTTAACAGTCTGGGAAGGGAAATAATGTTTACACTGTAGCTCATTAATCTTTTAATTGTTTTTAATCTTCGGGAAAAACATTATTTTTTTAACCAAATAACATGACATTTTGTCCATTGATTAATGAGAAAAAGTCATTAAAATAGATAAAATGCTGCCAGATGGACGACGGATAAGGGATGGATGGCCAACAGATGTCACACCATGGTTAAAGCACAATTTACTGTGATTTTGAGTAGAAATTTAAGTACAAGTATGTACATTTACCACAGTAAAACTGGTCTAATTTATGCCATAATATCCATAGTAAGATGTCAAAGTCACATACTGACCAGAATAACAGGACCTTTAAACCCATAGAGGCTGGACATTACAATAATATAGAATTACCTCCCTTGTGTGTTATATCATAATTATGTGTCATAAAGATATGATATCATTGTTATTATAAATCCAGTGCTAGGTGGTGGGGAAGATTTTCCTGCCTTCAGTACTAAAACTGTTCCCAGAACAAAGTGTGAATTTATGTATATGGTGTTAGAAATAAACTCCTTCTGACTTCACCTGTATGGATTCCATATCTGCAAAATTAAAGTCAGTCACAGGAAGAGGATTTCCATTTCTTGTCCATCTGTAAAGAATATCAACTTTGCTATCAACTTTATTGTAACTAAACACAACACAATAACAACGTAAACTCACAGACTTTGCATAGAATCAAAAACACATGTACACTCCTATAAAGCCAAGTACAGGAGAAATTATAACAATTTTACATAATCCAAACTTTAGTGTAAATTATACTGGATTGTTTGAATGAGAAAATGTGTTGTTAGTTTCACTATGATCTGTTTGTTCTCCATGTTTGTGTTGTTCTGATGTCCCATTATCCCCCTTATAATGACAGCAGCCAGGAGACTAGAACCCCGAGTTTTCAGATTGCTGTCTGATTGGTATCATTATAAACCAGGGTCACAGTAATCTGTATTATGATATACGTGTGTCACAGACTGACAAATGTCACTAGTACAGAGCTACCAACATTTATTTTAAGGATCCTTAACCCAGAAATTTTCAAATTTGTTAAGACTACCTCTTTTTTTTTTTTTTTTTCAAAATACAAATGAAGTTCTTCTGTCACATGTAGATATAAAATTAAATCAAAAGATAACAGAAAAATAACTTAGCAACAGGAATCATTACAATAGACCTCACTTCCTTGTATCCTTCACTGACAACCGCTAAATGTTACTACTACAGGGCTTTATAGCTAATACATCAAATAAAAACTTATTAATTATGGTTTTAAGATTGAGAAACAAAAAATTAATTTACATCATGTTCTAAATTTCTCTGTAATTTGCTATGCTAATTGTATTAGGTTTAACAGGTTGCAGCCAACTTACAAGGAATTTTGCCTAAAGAGATGACAACCCATAATATATCTATAACCTAATTGTACAACAATGAATTCTAAATACATTTAGTATCTAAACATTATAAGTAACAAATTATTCCACTTTTGATATTCAATGACTTTGTAAAAAAAATAAAATATATTTCCACAGTTAAAATCTGTAATTTCTATGTCTATTGTTTTTAGATTGATTGTAAGTTGAAAATAATTGGGTCACTTTACCATATTAATACAACTGTTTGTAATAACACACATAATACATCACATGGTAAATTCAAAATTCGGGCCAAGCCACCTTAAATGTGATAGAAGTCCTAATTTATCCCAATATTGGCTCTCATTCCAAACATTCCATCTGTGACTTTATAGTTTATTTATCATTATATAAAAATACCACTAAAAAGTATATTCTAATATAGAGAACAGTGTATAATGAAAACTGAGTCAATTCTTGATATAAACTATAGTGTAGAGAATGAACATCATATAAAGAGATTGTTCTCATTCAGAGAGTTTTCATCTCTTAAATGAACTTTTCCCAGTGAGAACATTCCTTACATGGACAATTTGTACCTGTTTAAAAAAGGAACTGTGGATACAGAACATTCTTCTAAGGATTTAATTATGTCATATTCAAAGGAAATTGTTCCAACGCCTCAATAAAACACCTGTGCTAAGAAAACTTGTAAAATCTCACCACCTGGACCACGAAAATCAAATACACCTGTTTACCTCTTAATTACAAAGTTCAATGGATATTTACTAAAATATATTTCAATAACTTGTTAACCAAGTTTTAAAGAGACAACAAAAATGTTCCGTTATAACTCGGGTAAAGCAGCGAAGCCATCTGGAATTATGGTAAGTTTTGTATCACATGATATTTCTTGATATTGATTATATTCATTGCTTATTTATATTTGTATGGTAAAGAAATTTAAGAAAAAAGTTAATCTCTTTCGGATTTTGATTTCAACGTGAAATTTCTAGTTGTGACTGGTTCAAACATTGTAACAGCTATTTACTGAAGTTCCTAATTTTTTGGGGCTACTTTTTCAGAAATATCCTAGCTTGAGTAAGTCTGCTGGGATTCAATTTTGTGCATGTCTATAAATCAGAACCCATGTACACATTTTTGTTGAGATTTTAACTCACTGCAAAATGTTTGCAAAGTTTGAATTGTGAGATTTCTTTAATGACCATGCATAGACTGAAATTAAACCCCTACAAATTTTACAGTATGAGGGCAAAAATAAAGTGAAATTAGGGCCACAAGTAATAGGAAAATGCCACCAGGGATAAGGTGAGGTTAGTGCTACTAGGAATAGGGTACAGATAGTATTACTAGAAAAAGAGCGAGGTTAGTGCCACCAGGGATAAGGTGAAGTTGGTGCCACTAGGTATAAAATGAGGTTAGTGCTACTGGGAATAGTGTACAATTAGTACCACTAGGAAAAGGGTGAAGTTAGTGCCTCTAGGAATAGGGTGATGTGAATGCCACCAGGAATAGGGTGATGTGAATGCCACCAGGAAAAGGGTGATGTGCATACCACCAGGAATAGGATGATGTGAATGCCTCCAGGAATAGGATGATGTGAATGCCACCAGGAAAAGGGTGATGTGCATGCCACCAGGAATAGGGTGATGTGAATGCCACCAGGAAAAGGGTGATGTGCATGCCACCAGGAATAGGGTGATGTGAATGCCACCAGGAATAGGGTGATGTGAATGCCACCAGGAAAAGGGTGATGTGCATGCCACCAGGAATAGGACGATGTGAATGCCTCCAGGAATAGGATGATGTGAATGCCTCCAGGAATAGAGTAATGTGAATGCCACCAGGAAGAGGGCAATGTGAATGCCATCAGGAATAGGGTGATGTGAATGCCACCAGGAATAGGATGATGTGAATGCCACCAGGAATAGGGTGATGTGAATGCCTCCATGAATAGGATGATGTGAATGCCACCAGGAATAGGGTGATGTGAATGCCACCAGGAATAGGGTAATGTGAATGCCACCAGGAATAGGATGATGTGAATGCCACCAGGAATAGGGTGAGGTTAATGCCACCAGAAATAGGATGAGGTTAGTACCTGTGAGATCCTGGGACATAGTAGAGACCTCCATTCTCCTCTGTCTGATTGTCCAGAGCAATATGGACCTACATAGAGAGGTGATCAGAGGATAATTCAGGGTTGTAATGGTATGGCTGTCATTGATGGCAAAATTTCATTGATTTATCAACTGGTGAAAGTATTAATGTATCTAAATGCTGGCTGTGATTGTGCAGTAAAGTTTTATTTCCTGGGCTCAACCCTATGAAACTTGAAAAATACAAGAAACAAGAGTATCAGTGAAACTGACAAATGCTCCCTGAAATGACTTTATTGGACACAACATTTTATGGAAGGGCAATAATTCTGTAATTAACAAGGTGCATGCTCTGATTTTAGAATAGAGCACATTGATCAATGTATACACCAAGTTTCACACTCCTAGCTTTAATACAACCAAAGTTATCTTCATCACACAAAATTTTTACATAGGCAATTACTCTGCACTGAAATGTCATGAACCCAGACTTTGCTCCACTGCATCTTGCTTTTGTATGACTGACGTATACATCACATTTCAATATCCCAGTTTAAATGCAGGCAAAGTAATGCTTCAGGAACAATATATTTAAAAGGGGCAATAACTCTGTAGCTATGGGGTTGAGGGCCCTGAATTTAGTACTGCACATTCTTTTTCTATGCATTACATCAAGTTTCATGATCCTTGTTTAACTGTGGGCAAAATTATGCTCCAGACAACAACAAAGTGGTAACTATATGCTTCCCCGAAAATATCTTGTAACCTCTTGACAAGTAATACTTACTGTGAGGTGCATCATGGGAGTTGTTCTGGTCCAATAAGAAAAATCTTGGTGCCTGAAAATGAATTAATTAATTGATTAATGAAGAAAACAAAAATGAAAGTTATAATTATTTTTCCCTTTTTATAATGGTGGCATGTCAGTTTCATGATTTTTTTTATTTAATTTTTTTTTTTCAAATAAAGGACAAATTTTGTGATAAACACATTGATTGGTAGAAAGTTGTCATACCTTTGTATCTATAATTTGAATTATCAGTATAATAACATATTTTTTCTGTTATAAGTCTACATGTCATCACATAATACATCTATCCTCCATTAGACTCACCACTGGGCCAACTCATGATCTCTGTGTACAGGTGGACATAATACTAGGCAATGCTCAAGCTTTCATTTCTAATGGAACCCAGATGTATGTGGATGAGATTATTATCAGCCACAAGCTTAATACCTGATGAATTTTGTACTATACATATTCTCTACTTGCAGAATTAGTCCCCAACAGGAGTTTGAAACTGCAATAAGTCTGCTACTATAGTGGCTGATATAGGACAAGGGAGATTACTGGTACTACCTTTGTGGTGTTAGTTGTATTGTAGAAGTTTTAGCAGTCTTTTTCCAGATATTCATACTGATCATTCAATAAAATCACAAAATAATTAGAATATGTATGGACTTTGTGGTATCAAAATAACAGATGAAAGTACAAAGATAATTCTTTTGAAATTCATGAACTTTTTAAAACAAAAGTTTTTAAGCTATAACACTATACTTACCAGGCAACTACACCTCCATGCTTTGCTGGCTTCGCGAACAGTTGGTCATGCCAGAAACGTACAGGCGTTGTCTTGTTCTGAACTAGCAGTTGTGAACCAGGAACCTAAAGGATATAGTTGAACAAATGATATTTCTCACTACAGTCACAAATGTACTTAATCAAAAAGAATCATCATCAACGCCTCAACTCATGGAAACTGTAGTTCATTTACATATCTCATGGCTTTCCAGCAGACATAGCAGATATATCATAGTTTTCAGATATAACTTATCATAGTGTAATACATTTTGGCAATTAGAAAATACACAGAGTAATAGTGGCAAACAAGTGTTATCTAGGAAGCAGTGATAGGAATTGGTCCAAGTTTCATAACTGAAAATTAAAAATATGTTATCCATAATCATAATCAGTTTCTTATTTTAAATGCAAAATATTTGTAGTCGTCGGTTTCCATTCTGATTTCCCAGAGTTACTGCCCTTTGTTTCACTCTGTTTCCTGCATTGCAATTATTGTAGATTTTTAAATCAATGACTATTAGAAGCTTTCGATCTGTTACTAAACCTGTATCTTCTATTTACTGAACACCACTGACACAAGTCTTTTATTGTCTTCAGGTTGTATATTATCTCTAAATAAACAACTTTACATCTCTGGGATCTCCGAGTTATTCCAGAGCTCTAACCATTACCTGTAATCATCTTTACAATTTTGGAAACGACTAAAAATGAATAAAATAAAAACAAATTCCTTATTCAATTAATTTCCAACTGCTTTTGATAACTGACCCAGTACAATCCAGTAGCACCAATATTTTTCCTTATATAGACTAAGCAATATCTCTCAGTCTGATTTTATACTAAGTCACTGAAGCCTGAATTGTGGGTAACACTCGGCATCTGTATCATGCATTGTAACACTGCAAATCTTTCATCTATTGACAGTACTGTTCTTTTTTTCCTTTTCCTGCAGACAGATGAATGAATCAACGGATAGGTCCGTAGTTCCTGCTTCAATATTTACAAAAAAAATTTTTGTGCAGTTGAAAATATACCCATGATAAATGCTAGCTGCCATCTAATGCTTTACTAGAGAGATTCTCTTTCTAGCTGATGATTGGTTGAGTGTTAGTCTAACAAGGCCAAGGTTTTGGTTCAATCCCTAATGGAAAGCATTGGAATAAATAACAATGTTACAATTAAATCAAACTTTAGGTAAAACCAGTGTTATTGTATGGGATTTTCAATTACAAGAAAACAACATGAAAATCCAAGACAATTTTTTTCTGATTCCAAATAAACATGAGTGATAAATGGAAAGATGACAGATGAACACTTAAAACACAAAAATAAAACCTACCACAACTTGAGGGAGGAATGCCAGATCATGGAAGAGCTCAGTCAACCTCCAATGCCCCAGACAATGCATTAACACATTGTTAGCATCACCACTCTGGTTGCTATGGTATTCATACAACATACCCATTCCATTATGTTGGTTTTCACCCTAAAAAAATATCAGTTGCTGATTATGAAATAGATCATTTACAATCAACAAAATAAAATATCCCAAAATTTAATGTTCTAAATATTCATAATTTCAAAACAGACAAAAAAGTTTTAGAATATACCAGTTTCAAAGGACTCTTCAAATCTTACTTAACTAAAGCAGTTTCTTTTTCTACCTCAATCTCACTGCAGTCTTTGTCTGCTTAAAGAGCTTATATTTTAAATAAAATTGGGTAAATGGATATGAAAATTTTGGGAAAACGATATGTTGTAAGATTGTGAAAAAAGACTGTTTTCTGCTATTTGATATGAGAAAAAATCACTATAATGTTTATATTTACTGTGAAATATTGGTAATCCGTCAAAATCTTATCACAGTCTTCTTCTGACAACAGAGGGACATTCAGAAGAAAACCATCCTCCCAGAACTTCTCCACCTGATCATCGCTGAACAGGAATTTGCTCCATTCTGATTTATCCTACAAACAAATAATATTAAGTAAATATAAAATAAATATAATCACTAATTAGTATGTTGTAAGATGCAGACCACATTGATAATATATACTGCAATAAAATCACTGCAAAAAAAAATGTTCTGTGAAGAATATTTATTACTTTTCTGAGGCTGACATCAGAATGACATTTAACAAGTTATTATAAATTTGATATGCTCATATATTCATAAAAAGAAATGAAAATTAGCTACTAATAAAAAATATATATGAATACGCTGAATTTAATTGATCATCAGCTGGAAAATTATTGTTTAAGTGTAAAAATAATATGTTTGAAATAACTGCCAGAATTTACAATAATTCCAATTCACATAAATTTGAAATTGCACTAATGAAAATACAATACTTCACTTTCAAAAGATTGAACAAAAATAAACCATATTGCACTATCATTGGATTACCTCCTATTTTCTAAATATGCAAAAAGATTCAGCATGTCCCATTAAGGGTTACCTTAAGTTGTTACCTTTATGGGATTGAAGAGCTTTCCTGTGGGTTCATGTACGGTACTCCAGTCTGGAACACCTGGCATGAAATCTTTCGGAGATGCTGGCATAATTTGTATTTATTTATCTGAAACATTCAAATTACTGTTTAGAAAACATTTCTATTTTCATTAAAGAATAATTTTGAAAATTTGTTGTGGTTTTATTATTTTCTTTTTAAACACCAAAGGTTAGTGTAATTAAATTTTTTTTTTTTAAATTTCCTTATTTCTTTTGTCTATATGGGACAAAATTTAATCAAGATAATTCATAGAAATCATAATAAAACTGCCATCATACACCTGCTGTGACTGACATAACACAGGTATACATTAAATGTACTGTAGATCATTTAATTCAGAACTGGATAATGTTACATTTACCTGGGTGTTATCTTCCCCATACACACCCATCCCTTAGTCTACTGTCATTGATACAGAGATACACAGCCTAGATATCATTGTCTAGTTGTTGCTAAGCACATGTGACACATCAGTGGCCTAGATGGGCCTGTATTGATAATGCACTAGCATACTTTTTTTGGTTTTCATTTAGATATCAATGGTTTTTCCAAATTTATTCTGCAATGAAATACATTTTAGACCAAAAGAGTTGCAAAGCTACATAACATAGCTGATTAACACAGGAACAAATTTACTCCTTTAACGTAAGAGGCCACTGGTCTGTCGATTCTTTATCTAATGTTCTTGTGCTGGCTTCGACAGATGTGTACACCTGTCAGAAATTCCTGATGTGTAAAACTCTGATATTGCTGGAGTAGGAGTAGCAAGTATATAGTAACCCTTGCTCCAAAATACAAGAAGATGCAAAACTATAACATTAAAGTAGACAGAGTCCAGTAAGTTATGACCACTTGAAATGAAATCAATTGTATTTTATTACAAAAATGGTCAATAGACCTTTTATATAATTATATGATCTTCTGATAAACATGATATATCTAAGTCCGTATTTCATTCATAAAAAAATTAAGTTCAATATATTTGTAAACCAATCAATCAACAGAGAACGTATGACAGGATATCATATGTACATTATATATGTGTAGGCCTGATAGTACTAAGTTTTGATAGGTAACTATGAGTACCTGGATCTCTCTATCTCTATCTCTTTATCTCTACTGTAGGAATCCAGAGAAAAGAAAATTTAAATAAACGTATTTAACAGGTAAGTCGGTTTTATGTTGCAAAAATTAAAACGATATCTATCATATATCTATCTAACTCAATGATGTATTTCTTATCATATTTTCCCTCCTCGTATCTAATATACCATCACGTGATATACTTGTAAAACTTTGATAATTCAGTTTATGTCGTGTTTATATCGGTTTGGTAGTTTGAACGAAATCCCAGCGGTGTGACAGTATATCCTTTTGTCGGCATCTTAAAGAGCAAAATGCCAGCTTTAATGAGACCGCGAAACTACCTGTTAGATCAAAGGAATCTTACCTGTGATCGTTTGTGGAGATAGTCTGATCTCGGCGCACCTGGCCGTATCTCAACCGGAAATAGATTTCTGTAGTAGCCATTCCTTTGTCCTCCCTACTAGATGCATAATAATGAAGTGCTAAGCCAGATGAAAAGTTGTAGTTATAAGTTCAGTTAATTATTATTCGGTGATGTGATTAACTAGGATATTTTAGAACAGTTGCATATAGGCTGAAGGAAACGATACAAACAGCAGGTAAGTCAAAGATTTACATCGGAGGGCGGTAAACATAACGGCTATTGCAAAGCTTGGCTGAGAATCAAAATGGACGACAGAACGGAATGAGATTTCTTTGCGAGAATGGAGATTGGTTCATTGTTTGAAAGAAGCAGACAATGACATGAACTATATTAGTCAATCTGGGACAACTTTTAAAGCGTTATTACGTGTTTGAACCAACAAGGTAGGTATGTGTGTGATCTGTGCTTACCACTAGCCTACCGGTTAAACCAAAGCTCTCGTCTCTGCACTGCAGTTTACGTTATTCAAAAAAGAACTGTTGATATCTCACGATCGTTTATAATAATTTGGACACTGAATGTTAAGTTTGTCCGGTAAGGTTATCCTTTTATATTCCTGTATCGTTTATTTTCATGATATCTTGATGGAAATGCAATCAAAATTGGTTGAAAGGAATATTCATTGACATTTCGCATTTGTATTATGTTGTGTTGAGTCATCTCGCAGTGCACTTAGCACCGAACACGCATGTCGTATCTAGATCTTCGACTCAAAAACTTGTTATGTGGTGCTTTTTTCGGCGGAATATGTTTTGATGTAACCGGAACCCGCCACAATTTTAGACGCACGGTAATAGATGCCGGGGTGTGGGGTGTAATTAGTTCAGTACGTGCTTTGTTTAAAATGAGGTCGGGGTCGCGCGCTTTTCATACGGTTGAACGGACACAGCCAAGAAACAAGAATCGGGTTGAGATTCTGCAGCTGGGCATTGGTGAAATCAGTTGGATAGTAATGACTATTTAAATATTTCTGAAATAGTAAACAAAACAGCCTGAATAGTTTATGTAAGAACTCTCAAAATCAATAACTTGAAAAATCAAAAATTATTTTAGCACATACTGTCTTGTTCTTTTTCACATACTCACACATATATATTTCAAGTCTGTTTTAAGATACTGCTGGTTCATTATTACATCAAAAGATTTAATTCCAAATTTTTTACGGGAAGTATGTTAAAAGCATACAGGTAGAGCATTGTTACGACCTTTATTTGTAGGTTAAGTTGCCAATTAAATTTTCAGATATAGGGGCGTATAAGATATTATCATCACTAAAACATAAAGCGCCTCAAACAAATCTTAACCTTCAGTTATTTTCCACTTATGTACTGGCTATTGTCTGGATCTGACAGTAGATGATCAATGATAATAGTCGCTTTGAAACAATGTATTGAGTTAAAAATCCATTTTCAAGTTGAAGGTTTTTAAATGACTTGTAAACAAATTGTAAAATGGCATGAAAGATTGCATCTAGATTGCTTGAAGTTTTTCAAAGAATAGAGCATGGAAAATTATATCCTATACAATACTAGAGACTTGACATTTTTTGACACAAAAATAAAAGTACATGATGATTATAAATTGAATTTTGTCGTAGCCAAGTAGACAACATCACCATGTTTGTTTGAAAGTTTGAACGTATGATTGATTCGTAATGATAAATTATAATTTAAAATGTGTCAATGGATTTTTTAATTGATATGCTGCAGATTCATGAATGATAATAATATGTAAAAAATCCAAAGAGAAATACAAATTTAGTTCACCCTAGTTATTATGTATATAAATACAGTATATTTATAGAAAAAGGAAGTTAAACTGATACATAAAGAATCAATGTTGATTAAATATCTTTGATGTGCATTAAATGATTAAAGTTTTCAAAAGAAAAAAGACCCAGACAAACAAAAAGTTGACACCAGAATAAAATTGACCTGTAAAACAACGTAGGATAAATCATTTGAAGACTCGGAGGTGTAAGTAGAGACAGCACTCTATACATTATCAATGGTTCAGTAAACCAGCAGTGTTTTAGGAACAAAAGAAGGTTTAAAAGCTCTTAAAGATGGTAACATGATTATCAGGCTGATCTGTACAAAGACAGTGGGTGCCAGGTGTGGTATGTAAACGTTGGGGCACAAGGAGTTGTGGTATCTGTATATACATAACAGGTGTTCATTGGGCCTAGTAATAGCTGAGGCAGTGAGGTGTAACAATAGTGACATTTAGACTTCGGGTATAGGTATGTAAAGCTGCCAGTGTTTTACAGGGAAGGAAGATAAAACATATGGAGCTAGAAAAGGACAAGGGGAAAGATAACATTGATTTGTGAGCAGGGGCACTGTATGTTTACCAAGCTTCATCTAGGGCAAAGTATGTAACCAGTTGGAGGGGCAGGGGATGAAGAGGGCCCATCTGTATCATTGTTGTATAAAGATATATAAACATGTATAGTATAAGAGTGCCATTTTACTAATATATAGATATGTAGGAAAGTGGTATGAAGCATTTCAAGGGAAGGGGCTGTCTGCTTAGGTAATGTACACATGTTTATCATGAGTTATTTACTGCTATTGTGGGTTTTTTTTTAACTTAGTTTGTATACACAGGTATAACTGTTTGGTAAAGTTAATGTTTGATGTAGCTGTCTAAACAGTAATATTAATCCTACATTATAAATTATAAATGTTACTTTCATTGTAATCAGATCTAGATATTGACAGGATAAATTGTATACTGCATTTATTGATATTATTATTTTATTATTATCATCATATTATATTATTATTATTATTATTACATTCTTAACGGCCCGTCAACACATAAAGGGTCATTAGAGCCATCAAACGGTAATGCACACAGGGATCAAAAAGGAAATAACATTAAACAAACCAAAAGGTGCATTGATTAATGAATTGATACATATATATATATATATATACTAGTATTCATTGTAGCTGATTTCAATGTATTTTTTAAATTGCATTGCAAATAGTATTCAATAGTATCTAGTAAAAATACATTATAGAAATATTTTCTATATACTTCTGTACTGGTTGTAATCTGTGTAAATAATTACACAACCCCATAAAGTGCATGTTTTTACTAGGTCAGACAGGTATATATATTCAATGGTATCTGTGTTTATAGAACACATTTCAACTGAAATTATAACATGAGCCCTGAATGGTATATTATTATTTTATCAATATAAAACCCTACAGTTATAAATAAATATAGAAAGCAAGTAGCCTGGAGGTGTTAATTGTACCAGTTTCTATAAAAGCTGTAATGTTAGCATTTAGATTAAAGTCATTTGGAGAATAATTATCTGGTGTAGAGATTTACAATAATTATCTGACAGGGAAAACCATGTAGAGTGGTTTCTGCCCTGACTTTGCCCTGGGCCAATGTTTTGACACCTCTGCTAGTCTGCCACACACCATAGTGTTAAAATATACACAATGCCTCCCTTTGAAGACTGGGTAGAAGGGAAGTTACAAGGGTTGACAGCTTTGTTTCCCTGTTAGTTAGAGTTGTCAGTGACAAAGGAAAGGATGTAAACAAATTACAGTGAAAGGTATCACTTGCATGTCACAGTTTGTAAGTTTAAGATGTTAGGTTTTTTTGGTTAAAAAAGAAAGGAAAAAATATCATGGCATATTCTAAGTTTTGAATTAATTTTTCTAGCAGATGTTGTCTTTCAAAATTGAAAAGGGCAATGCTAATGTCATAAATACAGTTTGTAAGTTTAAGATCTAGATTTGGAATATTAGTTGTAAATTAACAACGAATCAAGCTACAAGCAGTCTGTCTTTCTGTGAATTAACTCAAAAAGTAAATTCATTAAAAGTGACTTGCACTTTTGGTTGATATCTTTGTAGTAATTTTTATGATAAAGAGGTTACAAAAAATCTATCCTTAGTGTTTTTTGCTTTTGGTCTTCAATTTTCAAAAAGAATTCAGTACTTACACTTTATTTTGACTGAGGAAAACACTTTATATATTGCAGGGTGAGTTCTATTGGCCTCTTGACCACTGGCCCCGCAGACCAAGCCAGTATCAAAGAATGGACGGGGCAGAATCTGTACGGTCTGGACGTAGTGACCGATCTGAACGGTCAAGGCACAGTCATGGAAGTAGACATCACCATCGGCACCATGTGGGGAGGCACAGCAGCCGTGGCTCTGAACGGAGTGGCATGAACAGGGAACGGGACCGAGACAGGGACCGGGATGATCGTTCTGTGACCATTAAGATGCCAGGAAACATGTCGGAGTGTGAGGACAGACCATCAGGGGAGGAGAGGATAGAGGTTCAGATACTTCCACAGGATGATAACTGGGGGGATAACACAACAGCCTACACAGGTAAGTGGGGGATAACACAACAACCAACTAGGTAAGGGGGGGTAACACAACAGCCTACACAGGTAAGTGGGGGATAACACAACAACCAACTAGGTAAGTGGGGGTAACACAACAGCCTACACAGGTAAGTGGGGGATAACACAACAACCAACTAGGTAAGTGGGGGTAACACAACAGCCTACACAGGTAAGTGGGGGATAACACAACAACCAACTAGGTAAGTGGGGGTAACACAACAGCCTACACAGGTAAGTGGGGGATAACACAACAACCAACTAGGTAAGGGGGGGTAACACAACAGCCTACACAGGTAAGTGGGGGATAACACAACAACCAACTAGGTAAGGGGGGGTAACACAACAGCCTACACAGGTAAGTGGGGGATAACACAACAACCAACTAGGTAAGGGGGGGTAACACAACAGCCTACACAGGTAAGTGGGGGATAACACAACAACCAACTAGGTAGGGGGGATAACATAACAGCCTACACAGGTAAGTGGGGGATAACACAACAGCCTACACAGGTAAGTGGGGGATAACACAACAGCCTACACAGGTAAGTGGGGGATAACACAACAACCAACTAGGTAGGGGGGATAACATAACAGCCTACACAGGTAAGTGGGGGATAACACAACAGCCTACACAGGTAAGTGGGGGATAACACAACAGCCTACACAGGTAAGTGGGGGATAACACAACAGCCTACACAGGTAAGTGGGGGATAACACAACAGCCTGCACAGGTAAGTGGGGGATAACACAACAGCCTACACAGGTAAGTGGGGGATAACACAACAGCCTACACAGGTAAGTGGGGGATAACACAACAGCCTACACAGGTAAGGTGGAGATAACAAAACAGCCTACACAGAGAAGGCCTGGAGATATAACACAACAGTCTACACAGGTAAGGCCTGGGGATATAACAAAACAGTCTACACAGGTATAGGATGGGGGGGGGGACACTAAAACCTGCACAGGTAAGACGGGAATAATGCAAAAGCCTACACATGCAAGGAGGGATGCCCCAGCCTTAACAGGTAAGGGTGTGAAAGATATAATGTTAAATTTACACATAGATTCTAGAGGTAATATTGTAATCAGAAATACTGTGATTGAAGACTAATTGTTTGTTGCAAAATATCATTGGCGGCAAAATGATCCTATACAAATTTTTTTTTATATCTTTTGAGGGAAGTTCAACAGGGGATGAAAAAGCTTTGATATGTTGCAAGGTTGTACTTTGTCAGTCTCTAGATATTTTGTTTTACTTACAGGTAATACAAGCGAGACAGGGTTCTCCATGGAGGATATCCGTAAGTTCAATACCAAGGAGAGTTTCGAGAGCAGTATCGGGATAGGCTGCGCCCGATACGTTGGCACAGCCTTGGCAGGTGTCCTCAGCATTGCTGGGTTCCTGTCGCCCATTGCAATGATAATCTTACCCAAACTTCAGATCAACGGCTGGCAGACGCTGCCTTGTGATCCGGAGTGTGAAGGACTCTTAATCAGTTGTGCGTTTAAACTGCTGATTTTGTTACTTGGAACAGTGGCCTTATTTTTTCGTCAACCGAAGGCGACGATGCCTCGGGTGTTTGTATTTCGTGCTGTAGTTTTATTTCTTGTATTTGTTTTAACATTTGCATTCTGGTTGTTCTATGGAGTCCGGATCTTTAAGGAGCAGATGTCAGACTATTACAAGATTGTACAGTTTTCTGTGTCACTTGTAGATGCTCTGCTTTTCATTCATTACATTGCTGTCATCTTGCTTGAAATCAGACAACTTCAGCCACAATTTGTCATCAAAGTCACACGATCTCCGGACGGGGAGAGCCGCACATATAACATTGGGTGCTTAAGCATACAGAGAGCTGCAGCTTGGGTATTGGAACAATACTATCGTGACTTCCCTGTCTACAACCCTTATTTGGAAATGGTTGCCAAGCGACCTTCCAAGATGTCGGGACTTAAGTTCTACGAAGTTGATGGGAACACAACAAATAATCAGGGGAAGTCCAGAGCGATATTTGCTGCAGCAGCTCGTCGACGAGATGCCAGTCATAATGACCGATTCTACGAGGAGGTGGAGTATGACCGCAGAGTGCGTAAACGTCGTGCTCGACTGATTGTAGCTGCTGAGGAGGCATTTACTCACATCAAACGCATGCAAGATGAACAAGGTAAGTGTTCTTTAGTCAGGAGGAAAATCAACTGATACTGATCTGGTGAAAAATCCTGACAAGGTTTGTAACAGAAAAGTTGTAGTGATGCGTGATATATGAGATTACATTGTTGAAGAGCATCATGATGTACATTATTTCATGGTTTTTCTTATTTGTTTCATTCAGTTGTATTTATTGTCAACATTAACAGGAACATAAACGGCAAATATAGTACAATAACATGGTATCAGAACTCACGATATCAATGTAGTATGAATCAAAGAAACAATGAAAAATTATTTTAAAACACTTAACCTACATATAACCAATAACATGGAATGTTTCTAATGGCAAAAATCATAGACCATGTCACGACAATCAGGAGGCATTTTCAGCATTGTATTGTAACCTTTGATCGACTGTAATACTAAATAATGTTTTTAAATTTTTATAGCAGTGTCAACAAAAATTGAATTTGATATGCATCTTGGTGAATCTTTATATTACTGTAAATTAAAATATGTTAACACTTTTCGATCTTGAATTTACAAAATGAAATTTCAAAAACCGGTTACACAGTGGTTAACCTATGATATCAAGTTGTTACTGAAAAAGTCTTATAGTATGTAGCACTCTCTCTCTGATACAAAAAATACTGTATTTCAGACTATTGGCATTGGCATAAACAAGTATTATTTACCAGGGTTTTCCATAATTTTGTTAGTAGTAGGCTGTGTAGTGAAAGTAGGAGGCTGGCCTGCCGTGTACGTGTAGTCGTGTACGGAACATTATTACGGAACTGGATTGGTGTAGGTGGCCAAATGATCAAAGTAGCCGGTCAAATTGGCCGGCGACCGGCTCTTATAGAAAACCCTGATTTACTGTATATTGGGAGATTTTGACTCTGTGCAATTTTTGTGAAAATCCACAATATATCTTTGCAGTTTTTTTTTTTTTTGTAATTTTTTTTTGGTCAGTTTCATTGAATAAAGAAAGAATATTCAAACAAAAGTTAAGGAAAATCACTGCTCTTATGGGAAAAGCTAATCAAATTTCTATTGTCGTCAAATATTTTTTGTACGAAACAAGTCGGTTAGATGCATTTAGATCTGAAGATTAACTTTCGGGTTAAGATGTCAGAAAAAAATGTTTCAACTGTTAATGTCACATTCTTATTATTATCACATTTTCCCTGACAAATGGAACATGATATTGAGAAGTTTCGCTGTACCAGTGTAGATTCTTACATCAAACTGGAGAAATATTCATGACTTGAAAGTGTTCAGGTACATATAGGTATGTCATCTCTATAGATGCCTTTCTCATGCATTTACAACAAAAAGACAACATGCAAATTTTGCAATTTCAGTTCTTTGCGATTTTGAAATTGTAGTTAAATTTCAAAAATTAGGTACTTGCAGAAAACCTCTGCTTTTTGATAATCTGAAATTTCTTTATATCTTTAGACATTGTGATTTAAAATTACTACTTCGAAAAAGATATTACTCAAAGCCTTTACCAGGCGGGTACATATTTTTTAATTTGAGATCAATCTAGGTAATACTTAGGACGAATATTTAACATACTGGTTTCCTGTTAAATGTCTGTCAAGACATAGGGTAGGTAGGTAAACAATTTCATTATTTTGAATATTTTATGGAGGATCATGACTTTCACAGTGGTTGTCTTAAAAGTAGACAAATAAAATGTTTCTAAAGTGACAGGAAACCAAAGCTAGTTATTTGTTAGGCATAAGTACCAGTCATTAAAATGATAATTAAAATAACTTAGTAGGGACAATGGTTTAATGATGACAAACAGTCCGTTGCGAAAATTGTTGAAGAAGAATTCTGAACCTGATGTGGAGTAGACTCCCTGATATATGAATGGAACGTTGTTATAAATGTACCTGTCGATAAAACCAGATAAAACCAGTGACGAGTATAACTCTTTGTCTGAGATGACCTGCGAGGACTATCTATATACTCTTAAAACACCAGCTCCCTACTTCAAGAGAAATATCCTAATAACAAACAGACTTTACTAATTTTCCCATTAGGGGTTCTGAGGAGGAATGTTCCGCCTACAAAATTAGCATGGGGAGATCAAAAGTCTGTAGGTTACAACAGCCAATAAAACCATATCAACCCAACCATATTTTCTATGTGATGATGTTCTGTAGTCGAGGTGTTTAGAGCTGAAATTACATTCTGTATCTTAAAGTAAAAATCAGCTATTGTCCCACACTTAGACAAAGGATATGGTCCATTACATTAAACCTGCATGTAGTAGTGTAATTCATTGTTGATGAAGGGTACAGATTGTAATGGCTAGCTTCTTGTTGGGTACCAATTCCTAAATAGACAAGAGCCTGATAAAAGAAGAATGGCTGTAAAGTACTGCAATGTTTGTTTATTAGCCTGCCTATATCGCTGATAGTAGAAAATTGCAATTTGTTAACCAATGCAATTTCATTGTCCTAAAATAAATCCATTCCCTGACATTAAGGAAGTGATATGCTGTTTCCCAGTATTCCTGTAATAAACCCACTCCCTGACATTGAGGAAGAAGTGATATGCTGTTTCCCAGTATTCCTGTAATAAACCCACTCCCTGACATTGAGGAAGAAGTGATATGCTGTTTCCCAGTATTCCTGTAATAAACCCACTCCCTGACATTAAGGAAGTGATATGCTGTTTCCCAGTATTCCTGTAATAAACCCACTCCCTGACATTGAGGAAGAAGTGATATGCTGTTTCCCAGTATTCCTGTAGTAAACCCACTCCCTGACCATAAGGAAGAAGTGATATGTTGTTTACCAGTATTCCTGTAATAAACCAACTCCCTGACATTGAGGAAGAAGTGATATGCTGTTTCCCAGTATTCCTTTGTATGTAATGTCCCACTCTCTGACATTGTGTGTAATATCTCAGAAGAAGTGATATGTAATGTTTCTCTGACATTGACTAGAATTTGTATGTAACCCACTCCTGACTGACCATAAGGAAGAAGTGATATGTTGTTTACCAGTATTCCTGTAATAAACCCACTCCCTGACATTGAGGAAGAAGTGATATGCTGTTTCCCAGTATTCCTGTAATAAACCCACTCCCTGACATTGAGGAAGAAGTGATATGCTGTTTCCCAGTATTCCTGTAGTAAACCCACTCCCTGACCATAAGGAAGAAGTGATATGTTGTTTACCAGTATTCCTGTAATAAACCAACTCCCTGACATTGAGGAAGAAGTGATATGCTGTTTCCCAGTATTCCTGTAATAAACCCACTCCCTGACATTGAGGAAGAAGTGATATGCTGTTTCCCAGTATTCCTGTAATAAACCCACTCCCTGACATTAAGGAAGTGATATGCTGTTTCCCAGTATTCCTGTAGTAAACCCACTCCCTGACCATAAGGAAGAAGTGATATGTTGTTTACCAGTATTCCTGTAATAAACCCACTCCCTGACATTGAGGAAGAAGTGATATGCTGTTTCCCAGTATTCCTGTAATAAACCCACTCCCTGACATTGAGGAAGAAGTGACATGTTGTTCCCCAGGGGTGCTTCAATAAGCCAACTTTCTGATTTAGAGAAGTAATATTTTTCCCATATAAGCATATTGCAAGATAATTGCAGTACGTGTGTAATCTCCATTTTCAATGTCACATACACTTATTTTAAGACATTTTTTTCCAAGTTTAGTAGGCTAGGACCAATATTAATTTTCTCTATTTTGCAGCTAAAAAAGGCTGATTCCTGAAGCAAAAATGTGTTATTTTCCCAAAAAGAAGCAAAATTAAAAAAATATTTTCCTAATTTATCAGATAATTTTTCTATAATTTTCCAATCTATGAGGGCACCTGCTGCAGTAATATTAACAGAGTAGAAACATTGAAGACAATTATTAGGTATATTCTCAGACCTAGGGATTCTGTTTACATATTTTTCAACAATATTTTCAGGGCATCAAATTCCAAAATTTTGATGAGTCCCAATGATAAGAGATATAAAGTTGGTTCTGTGTCCAGAAAATCATTAAATGTCATAAAATGCTGCTCATTCTTGTTACCTGAAAAGTGATTGTAAATTTGAAAATAACAGCCAAGGAATGAATTTCAAAATAGAGAAATTCAGCAAATATGAAGACTTCAGAATTTTAAGGATACAGGCCAAGAATTTTCAGCAAAATAAATCGCAAAAAAATTAACTTTGTTCTTTGTTTTCCCCTGAATCTAAGTTATGACATCAATAAGGGGTTCCTGATATGTATTTTAAACCTGTGTTGAGCCCCTGAAGTTACAATATTGCCAAAACATTCCAGGTAAGACATTGCTGCCGAGTTGAGTGTTAGACACAGTAGGGGGCCCCAGATGGGAGATGGAGTCTGGGGTCACATCTGGCACTCACCCAGTGGAGGCACATTACAAATAATTGTAACCCAGTCTGATCTAATCAGTAGGCTCTTTCCAGGTTTTAAAAACCAAAGTATTTTTGTAACAGTTTGATAGACAATGTAACATGTGTTCAGTATTTCTATGGCAGTTTATTAGACAATGTTACATGTGTTCAGAATTTTTAGGATCATGGTATTGAAATATCTTTAATAGCTGCTGAAGAAAATTGGTTAACACATTTTTGAAATCAAAGAGTTTTCTTTGGATAAAATCTACATTGTCCTGGAATGTGTCGTTATTGAAACAATATTGAAGGTTGTGTACACTCCACCTTGAAAATAATATATAACTCATGACTTACCGTGAAACTTCAAAAATCAAAATGAAGATGATTTTGTTGATAAAAATAAAAAAACTGATTTTAAGTTTGTTTGAAAATATTTTTGAGTATGAAGTCGTTGTACAAAACTAATTATAACATGAAATTATGTCAAACACTAACACATTACTTTATGACACAGAAATGGACACTATGACAATGACTTCAAGAAAGCACTTTTATTCACAATAATTTCAATAAGACTCTATCATGTGATATGAATCATATTGTATAGTTTTCCATATCAAATTTGTTTTATGAAATTGGTCACAGAAAATTCAGAGAGTCATTTAATAGATTTTGTATGAAATTGAAATTTATGTATATATCTATATAGAAGTTTGTTTTTACCATAGTAATTGTGGTTTCACAAAAGGAATAAGTAAAATTGCCGAAAGAATGACCAAATCTTGTTGAATTGAAGTTTTGAATGCCATTACCTACCGCTAGTTATAGATTTTCTTTTGTCGTTTCCAGGTGCTCCTGTTCCTATGGATCCAAAGGAGGCTGCTCATGCTGTATTTCCGTCTATGGCACGAGCATTACAGAAGTACCTGCGTATCACACGACAACAGCCCCGTTACACGATGGATGCAGTGCTGGAACATCTGGCTGTGTGTGTGGGCCACGACATGAGCCCGCGGGCATTTATCGAGCGTTACCTGACGCAGGGTCCAGTGATTATGGACGATCACGCATATCGCCCCATACAGAAGTGGGTTTTGGTTTGTGATCAACTTCTTACTAGAGAGATGGAACACAACACAGTATTTCAGCTACGACAAAACGAAGTATCGCTTCTTGTCACTGTGAAACGTATTCCACATTTTAATCTCACGGAAGAGGTCATTGATCCTAAAAATAACAAGTTTGTGTTGAGACTTAACTCAGAGACCTCCGTGTAATACATATACAACATTTAATGCTAAGACTCAACTTGGAAACCTAATTTTAATCTCGAACGGCTAAGCTTTCTCATATAGGTTTCTTCAGAAGTATCCATAGCAAACAGATTTGTTTTGAAATCAGAATTTCTGAAGGTTCTTCAGGGCAGTGTAATCCAAAAACCTTAGCAAAGTGAAGTGGAGTCCAAATATTTGAAACTTCATTTTTGAGATCTATCACTATATATCTGTTGTGTTTTTCCAAAATCAGGAATCTCAATTTTCACCAATTCTTTTCCTTCAAAAAACTAATCAAAAACTTCCATATGTAGGTTTAGCTTAGATGTAACTTTCATATGATAGAAATACTGTGTAATTTGGTGAATAAGAATATTATAGAAATAAATGCAGTGGTGGTTCTCTTGGGTTGATGAGAGACGAAGGGGGTTATATCTAGCGTTATATTGGCTTATTTTGAAAGGAGAGGGAAGTCTCTTCAAGCAGAAAAAATTCAGTATCAGTGCTGAAAGTTTGTAATGAATTCAGTTTCTGAGAGCTAATCCAGCAAAAATTTAAAATCTAGCCAGTGTGAGGATTTTGAAAGCTTGGTTTGTCAAACATGGACAGTGGATATAGAAGCAAGTTGAAGTAAACAGATTCATAAATGCTCTGTAATAAACTGTATTATCTAGGTGTCTGTATTTTGTCTTCTGGAGTAGTAAATGATGTCCAGAGACCAATTTGTGAGATATATATGAGTTTATAAATGTTGTAACAGACAAACATAGCTTTTATTATGATCGATGAGAATTAAAAAAAGTGTTAGATCATCTTAATGGGAACAAAGCCGTTGAAATCTTTTGAGCAATATCTGCAAATTTCATGTCTGTTGCCTACTTCAATGTGTAGTCTATATTTAGAAGAGTCAATGTTACCCTCTTTGTAATTTGGTCTTCTTATGGAAAGTGAAGATTTTTTACCGTTTTGTGGAAAGCATTGTTGAATATTGCTAAATCTACTTTTTGTTTTGTATTTGATACATACAGTATATACATAACTTCGGTAATTATTAAAAAAAAATGAAATAAATAAAAAGATATTGTATAACATTTGAACATGTGGAATAAGGTAAAGTTAAAACATAACGTGCCATAAATTTTTACGTAGTGTGTGGAGTGGATGTAGTCATTGTTGAAATCAAAATATTCATCATTTTACACCTTAATTCACCGTCACTTTAGGATCATGATAGTAATTATATGCCATTAAAGACCAAATTTCATAGATTTAAATAATCAACTTAATTCATTCATTTTGAAATACTTTGAAGTATCAAAATTAGAACAGTCCAGCCAGCAAATGAAGTTAACTTCTGCAGGTGTATACTAATCTTTATATTCTTGTTTCTAAAAGACACCTTATTGATCAAGAAGTAATCTAGAAATTTTAATTCACCCCTTTGTAGTTGTTTGGGGGGAATGGGAGTTACCCTGTATATAAACATTCTACTTTCAATCATCTTCACTGTGAGAGTTCGTACTTTGGTGCATGAAACTGATAAAATATAGCTTTAACTAGAGGAGCGAGCCAGTTTATGTGGTATTTCATACATGAAGAATCTCGTATGTACATAACATGTCATGGTTCACCGATCACAGGAAGCCATCATGTTGTCTAAGTAATATTAAGATGTGTGATCAGTCAACTGTGTTATCAGTTTCACTGTATGCAAGATGTACATATATAGCACTGTGTGTAGATTTAAAGTGTGAAAAAAACACTTGAAATAGTTTGAATTTAGGATATATTCTTCAACATTTTGCCATTTTTTATAGTGAAACTTTTTTTGTATTCAATATTTTAAGTAGAAGTCAATAAAGGAGAAAGACATAATTTAATACTGCAATAACTTATTTTGCTTTTTGCCTTTTGTAGATAATATAACATATAATCTCTTGTAAAGTATGATGAAATATTGCTATGTACCTTCCTTGTTCAGTGGAGTGCAACCAGTGTATATGTAAATGATATATACATGTCTGTGAACAAAAAAATTCATTCAACCTTTTGTAAGGTTGTAAACTTCTGATTTATGTATATATATCTGGATCGAGTATACACCTAGATCAAATGCCGGATACTGCACATGGTTTTGTTAATTTTACACTTTTCCTTCTAATTTTTTTTTGAAAGTAAAGGGTTTTGATTCATCAATAGTACAATCCATTCCATAGAATAGACACTAAAATTCTGTCCTCAGAAAGACTTGGAAACAACCCTTCCTATAAATTCTAGGATCAAACAAAGTAAGCCTTGTGCAATTGTATCGATACATAATCTTATTAGAGGGCGTAAAAAAAAAGAAAAAAATACTTATATTTTGGTTTCGTAGTTCACAAATTTGTCCATTGTAGTTTTTACCCATCATCTGCATTTTATCAAGTTGAAGGGTTAGTTAAGGCTGTATGCCACCTTTATGAGATGTGCAGTGACAACTACTTTTTGGAAACATCACAAAGAAATAGGAATGTTAGGATTTATAGGTGCTGGTTCATCCATGCATACTGAACTACATCAGAATAGGTTTGTTCACCATTCTTATATACACATGTGACAAAAAGACCAAAACTGAGTGAACAATTCAGTTTATGTCCAGATAGATTAGGTATCCTATAGTATTATTCATAAGCATTGTACAGTGTATGTATAGTTTTCTACCATCCAGAAGATGCACTTATGTCTTTTCATAACTTCTGCATTACATTTTAAAAGCATTTGGCAATTTATGTCAGAAATTTTTGATCTCAAAATTTTAATTTTTCTAAAGTCTGTCTGTAGATATATGGATCATATCGTAAGAGGTTGTGACTTAGATTATCCATCTCTCAGATAGTCCTGGTGCTTAAAGGTGACAATAACCAAGGGAGATAACCTGTTTTGTTGTAAAAAGCAATATTTGTCTTTATTTACCAGTTGGAATAATTTAGTGCTACCTAATACCGGGGCCTTTTTTGCTTATTGGTTGGATGAAGGTGTTCATGAAAAAAGATAGACTTCTGAGGTCAGTACAAACATGTGCACAGGTACATTGCTAGTACATTTGAATATAGAAGAACCAGGTTATCTGCATTAAGGAACATGCCCCTGCATGTCCCAATGCCTTGTGAAATCCTATCATGGTTGAATGGAGGCAATATTTTACATATACATGTTACTATTTTCATATGTCGGTCCTTCAGCATCAGTCTCTACTCTATGCAAACAACTTTGTAGATAAAACACAAGTCATGTCACTTGTAGGATTGGGATGTCATTGAGCACTCCTTTTCATTAGGTTATCATTATTTAACTGTATATGGAATGTGGAATTTTATCAACATAAGAGGGGAGATGAACAAGATTTCACCAAAAATCTTGACTTGTTTAATTCTGTGCAGGTTTACAGTATTACTGTTGAGATAAGCAGCAAAATATTATGTTTACTATTGATTTGTTGTATTTTTCATTAATGCTTGGTAATAAGCCCACCCATATCTATTGTTATTCATTAGAAATACTATTTCATTGTTCTGTAATAAGCGCTCCTATGAGATGATGTTTTTATCACTAGGTTTACTCAAGAACTTCATCTAAATGTTGTCTGCTGTTTAATCTTGTACAGAGCCAAATGTCCCTATGAAAGCCAAATATGTACCATTACAACAAAAACCCACAGTGTAGCTTTATTATGCTAGCATTGTCCTTCATTGTCATAATTGCACATCTAGTTTCTTGACCTTTAAAATGTGTTGTGATTGGTCAATGTTACATCAGGTGACCTTATTAAGTTGTTGTGATTGGCTGCCATGATACGGTAGTTCTTAGCCTGTATTCATTCAACCACTGACATGCTCAAGAAAAAAAAACTGTCGCAATGAACTGAGTAATATAACAAATTAGTGTCTCTGCATAATTATAGCTAAACATTACTTACTAACAGAAATTCATGTTTCATGAGATTGAAAAGTTTGGTTAGAAAATAGATTAATGAGCATGTGAATGGTTGCTTGGATACAGGTCATGGTATTTTGTAAGTGTTGTGACCCTACACAAAACCCTTAAATGGTATGTAAATTGTAGTAGTATATTATCTTGTCTTGTATAAATGTTGAGAAAAACATCGTTTATTAAACTTACAACCTTTTTTAAAAGAGACTTTTTGTTATTTTCTTACTCAATTACTTTATTAGTTTTCCCTGCAAAAATATCTGAAATAGACATTGTTGTCTGAAATGGAAATCTGAAATAGCCACTTACAGACAAGATGGTTCTAGATCAGATGAGAGGCATGGTGAAAAAAACAGAACAGACAAGGTCTGGTATAGACAGAAATCCTGATTAGGCAAAGGAATGTGTAGATAGAAATCTGATTGGCCAAGGGATGTATAACATCTACAGATTTATGTACAGAAATCAAGTTTGTACAATTGCAAGTGTAAAAGAAATTCATATAAACAGCAATTCTAATCATACAGGGTCCCTATGAACAGGAATTCTAATCAAACAGGATTCATATAAACAGGAATTCTTACAATACAGGGTCCATATAAACAGGAATTCTAATCATACAGGGTCCACATAAACAAGAATTCTAATCATACAGGGTCCATATTAACAGGAATTCTAATCATACCGGGTCCATATTAACAGGAATTCTTATCATACCGGGTCCATATTAACAGGAATTCTAATCATACAGGGTCCATATTAACAGGAATTCTAATCATACAGGGTCCACATAAACAGGAATTCTAATCATACAGGGTCCATATAATCAGGAATTCTAATACAGGGTCCATATAAACAGGAATTCTAATCATACAGTGTTCATATAAACCGGAATTCTAATCATACAGTGTTCATATAATCAGGAATTCTAATACAAGGTCCATATAATCAGGAATTCTAATACAGGGTCCATATAAACAGGAATTCTAATCATACAGTGTTCATATAAACCGGAATTCTAATCATACAGTGTTCATATAATCAGGAATTCTAATACAGGGTCCATATAATCAGGAATTCTAATCATACAGTGTTCATATAAACCGGAACTCTAATACAGGGTCCATATAAACGGGAATTCTAATCATACAGTGTTCATATAAACCGGAATTCTAATACAGGGTCCATATAAACAGGAATTCTAATACAGGGTCCATATAAACAGGAATTCTAATCTTACAGTGTTCATATAAACCGGAATTCTAATCATACAGGGTCCATATAATCAGGAATTCTAATACAGGGTCCATATAAACAGGAATTCTAATCTTACAGTGTTCATATAAACCGGAATTCTAATACAGGGTCCATATAAACAGGAATTCTAATCATACAGTGTTCATATAATCAGGAATTCTAATACAGGGTCCATATAATCAGGAATTCCAATCATACAGTGTTCATATAATCAGGAATTCTAATCATACAGTGTTCATATAAACCGGAATTCTAATACAGGGTCCATATAAACAGGAATTCTAATACAGGGTCCATATAAACGGGAATTCTAATCAAATAGGGTTTGTATATAAATCGAAATGCGATAGCCTGAATACTAAGAGGATGTATAGTGGACCAAATTCATTGTTACTACTGTATAAATGTATACTAACAACAAACACACTTGTGATCAATGGCAAATTTTATTATAAATCATTACGTAACACCATCTGCAATAACAAACCCTCCCAAAAAGTTATGTCAGTTTGTTGATCTTACAACGGAGCTATTCTGGTTTGTGTTTAGACTATTTGGATTTCTTTGCAAAACTGAAATATTTGGTCTTGAATAATTTGAACACATCTCTATGAGGTGTAGGGCTATCTAGCCTAGACTTTGTGATGCTCAGAGCTCGCCTGACTGCAGGGGTGTTGAGAGAAAGCAGCTGTGTTGCACTCCATAAACTTGTGGTACAGATGTATAAGGTTAAAGCCTGAGAAACAGAAAGAAAAAAATATTCAGGGGAGAAGGAAGACTTGTTCTAGAAAACATATATAATTTCCCTTAAAATATACCAGTGACCTTGACTTCTTCATATTCCTTAATGAGTATTTCAAAAGGTGTTTGGAGAAATTTTAATTGATTTTAAGAAATTCACCATTGCAGCAACAATGTTTGAAGATAAACCAAGATGAGACAGGAACATAACAGCTATCAATAACCCTGAACAATATGCCCCCATGAAATAATTATATATATATATGAACAACTTTACGCAAATACATACTTGTGATCAATGCTATATTTAAGTGTACAAGAGATCCAAAAGGAATCTTGGCACTTACTATTGTTTGGTCTTAATTTTGTTTTTTTAAAAGTTTGATTTTTCACTTCTTTTCTATTCTTTGTTTTGTTCTTGCTCTATATCATATGAAACTTGAAAATTCCTCTGTAGAAATAGTTATAATCAGACAAGTTAGCTAAATATAAGGAGAGATGTTAACTGATTCATTGAAAACAAATACTCACACTAGGAGCAAAGCAGAGAAACGGATAAACTGTGATAACCACAAGCTGACCAAATCGTGTGACGTAGTTTAAAAATTTTTGCATTTTTGTTTCGGGTGCTACAACAACACCGAAGTTCATCTGATTGTGATTGACCTTCCTCAGCAGCATGGAATACTGTAACAGAAGAACAGAAAACTTGGTGATTCAATCAATCACTAAAAAACTGGTTTCTTAATCTTTACTTCTAAAGCTCCTCTCTACCTACATTTAAACACTTAGGATTTTCCTCTGTCATCTCATAGCTTTCAAATTTAGGAATGTTGCATCATAGATGAGTCTTAGAGTGAAAGATGCAGTTAAATTGATCTCTATAAATTTGTATTTAGAGGTGCTTTCACCTTTTGTCTTTTGAACCATCTTCTAAAATAATAATTGTCCAAATGTTGTGTATCTTTTGGTTACTGAGAAGAATTTTACTGAAATTTTGACATTAACCTTGTAACCATGAAAGTTGATCAAGTTTATTCATTCAAACAATCTTGGTAGCCCTTCATCCCAGTAGGCTACAGGCCCAATATCAGTGTCCTCGGCTTATTGGTTACTGAGAAGTTGTTTTCTTGGATGCAGAATGGAATATTACACAACAAGGTATTGCAGTTAATATGAATACCATAATCCTTTTGAATGAAATGATAAATGTAAAAGGAAATTTAAAGTGATTTGGTCTGCTGCAAGAGTCAGTCTGTCCATTGAGAAATGTATGTTAAATATTTATGTAGGTTAAAGGTTGGAGGGAGGGGGAGGGGACGAATATTACACCTGACTTAAGGTTAGAGGATGGGCTTATTATAAGGCAACAGTGTCTGTGCACATTTTCACTGATCAGAAAAAGACATATGACAGCCTGTTACCAAGCATAAACTTATTGCCAGAAAACGTAGTTTTGTCCTCACTAACAGAAATCTGTGAGGACAAAGAACAACATATCCTACCTCTAGTGCAAAAAGAGATGTGAAGCAGCTGACTGTTGGAATTATACAGTATGGGTCTGCAACTGTAAGGTTCGAAATCCACGAGATGCCTTCGCAGATCATTTCTGGTTGAAAATAATGATCCGCTGAAACAAAGAGGTACATCTGATCAGGTTTAACCAATCATTGCTGACTTGTGATTTAGTTTGACCAATCATTATAGACATATGATCAAGTTTAACCTATCATTGCTGACTTGTGATTTAGTTTGACCAATCGTTATAGACATATGATCAGGTTTAACCAATCATTGCTGACTTGTGATTTAGTTTGACCAATCGTTATAGACATATGATCAGGTTTAACCAATCATTGCTGACTTGTGATTTACTTTGACCAATCGTTATAGACATATGATCAGGTTTAACCAATCATTGCTGACTTGTTTAAGTTGATAATATATCAACAAAGACAGGTGAAGAATTGAAATAATCAAAACGAACAAAATATCACTACTGCATTATTTAATTTTGTGACAACAAGTGACAAACACTGGAGCATATCTTCAATATCTATATTATAATGCTAATCATCTTTCTCACATGTGTATGAATTAGGACAAAAGGCCCATAGGGTCTGTAGGGCTCACTTGGCTTTAGCTTGGCTTAAAACTTAAGGAAAAAAATTCTTATCATCTAATCAGAAAACAGACAACATATCTGTTTTCCTAATGGTCTCAAAACCTCTGTCCCTACTCTCTGTGGGGTCAGCTAAAATACTTTTCAGACCAAATCACTCCATCCCACCCATACCATGGTCTGAGACTGTTTATACAAAATTGATTTCCTTTCACTAATGAGGGCAGAGACCATTAATTCCCATTTGCCAAATGCTACAGACCAAATTTAGGCAGAATCCAATCATTCCTACAAGAGAAGAAGAATTTTGAAGAACTAGCAATATTTCCCCTTTTGGGCCCCACCCTACAGGCCCTAGGGGCCAGGACACACCATTTTACAAAAAAATGTTCCCATTCCCCTAAAATCCAATCAGTTGTTCATGACCAGTAGCAGATGCCATCCCTATGGCATAACCTCACCAGTTCTTCAGACCTAGTGAGCTGAAAATTAGGATCTGAATTTTATATAACAATGAATGAAGAAAATAGTGAAATGCTTCATGGTAAAGTGAACCTGCCCCCCCCCCCCCCCCATCACCCGCCCCCACCCTAAATTTCCCCACACTTGTTATTTTTCTGGGCTTTTTTTTAATGTATGGAGGAACATAATTAAGTAAAGTGATCAAAAATTCACTGAAGAAACATCAAATTATAAAGCTGCTTTACTTTATCATAGAGCAGGAGGCGGGAGAGTTCATTTCACCATTATGGTATTTTGACCCCTGTTCATTTCACCATGCTTCACAATACCATGCTACACAGGTATATAAATGTTCTATTGGGGCTACATATTTCAGTGACTATACCAACCTATCGGTCCAAATCGTCCTGTACAAGATCGCAGAGCGACTCCAAAGCTTACAATCACTGGCACTTGGACATACACATTCAAAAATGGTTTTATTGGGGAACAATTATGCTTTACATACATTTCACGCTTCATCTGCCTTATCTGCAAGTAATTGAAAACCAATGATAATATTGTTACATATATCAATCTTATATTAGTGTAAATATTGTCGATACCAAAACTCTTTTATCACAAAGATATGAATAAAAAAGTTAGAAATTGTACAAAATACACACAAGTGAATAGCACCTTTTAATGATTTAGACATACAGTACAGTCAAACCATGAAACTGTATGAATGTACCCTTTCGACTCTTTATATTTTCATAAATATTTTTAATTTTATGAAACATTAATTTGAGACAAGTTTTCTGAAACACCCTTTACATAGTGTTAAATATACACTCTCCTATAGTTATTACTCATTTGTTACTTGTTGAACTGTCAGCAGATACATTTAGAATTATACTACATGCAAAATATGTATGTTAAGTAATAAAAGTGGTTTTTAACATGTCCTTGTTAAATATCATCCAAAGATTAGTTTTAACCTGTAATTTCTATGCATTTATAAAAGGATCACAGAGAAATGTACCTCCCAAATACATGATAGCATTAAGGTAAATGTAGACACATACTTGTGAAGCTGTTTCTCTCTTCATTGTAAATGGTTTCATATGATGATACAGCCCATGTGCCAAAATATTTGAATGAATATCTGTTGCTCTGGCATGGATCTCTGGTAAAACTGAGGCATGCTTCGCTTGAGATTTGATAATGATAACAGCTAAAGGAAGCAGTGTCATTCTAAACATCAACGTCCCGGAAATAATAGTTAGCCACCAAGGCATTCCAATAATGTCATGGAGTCCAATAAAAAATTGTCTTGACGCTCCAACCGGCTCACTCTCAATGACAATCCCAGCCAACTTGTAAAATATATGACTTACATACGCTGTAAAACCTCTTGATGACCCCGTTACCCCTAAACCGACCCCACATGGGAGCCATGGAGAACTTTTCTGATGTGTCAATATATGTCTGCCACACGTATGTAAGAGTGTATGTTTAGGAAGTATTGTTGCATTTAGTTGTCTGTACTTCTCTGTTGGTTCGTCTGACAAAGAGTAAGAACGGTCCAAACGCGACACACCAGATATTGTGGAGTAAGAATGACTCCCTGGTTGGACTAGGAGGGCCGTTCTGTGCGTACAGATGGCAGGATGTGTCTTAGTTTGATAAATATTATTGACATTTGCGCTGATGGTTCTACAACACGACGAATGAGCCAACTTATTCAACCTGGGAATCATTGTGTTGAAGCAATATCACCATATCCAATGTCACTCTAAGTTATTCAGATGCTTATAAACTTCTGCTGATAATGAGTTGTTTCAAGCATTTCACCTACTCAGAAATATGATTTTAAGCCTTGGGAGGTGCGTTCGGTTAGCATCAATAATTATCGTACCGGCAATGGTTTTTGTCGAGTGTCACGGTTTTTTATAAAGGATTTTGAGATAATTATGACTAATGTCTTTGATGATCAAATCTGACATTCCAAAAGACATCATTAACATAGAGAAATTTCATTTGTTTCTTTTTAATGGTGTGGCATAGAACTTCTGCTATTTTAATTATTTTTCGACAGAGAAGGTCTCTGATTTCGATTACATGTAATGTAATCAGTTCAAAATATTTGTCTTTTTTCCAACCAGCACATTTCCTATTTGCCATTACAAGCAAAACTAATCAAGCTGCGATTTTTACGACTGGCTGTTCTGATCGAACCAACCATAATATAGTTTATGTCGTCTCGACCACACAAAAGCTAGCCAACTGTATTCGGCATGGCTGCGCATCCTCCGACAGATGTTGCTTCCGTGATGCATTGATTTGCTGACAACTCCACATCACATGGCAGAAATGAAAAATTGTGCAGATAGTCCGGAACCTGTAGAAGATGTTCAGGGGGATGGACGCTGGATGAGTCAGGTAGTCACTTGTTTGTTTTATTTATGCAGTGAATTCACCAATCGTGTCTGTTGTTGTTTTTTTTCCCGCATATCCGTCTTTTTCGAGATTGCCTCTTTCACTGACCCTGACACGATATATTTAACAAAATGGAATTTTGTTCAGACCCTCTATCAGTTTTCATGATCAGGCTCTAAGACAACTACACAACGCTTCCCCAACCTGTCCACTCACAACTTTTCCCCCATGAGTGTATTCATGAAAGAACTCAACGCGGGTTTTGTTTGCTAGTCATTTGCGTGTGTGTCAACACTGCAACAGGCTTTCAGACTGTTTTGGAAACGAGGTTAGTGCCTGTTCAATATGTGAAAACAGCATTATAAAATTTCCTACAAAAAACAATTTAAATCATCATCGATAGGTACATGCAGGGGCATTTAATATAGAGGGATAAGAAACTGGGCCCAGTAGTGACTTGGCAGGTTGGATGGTAGGCAGGTTTTCCGTCTGTGACTCCTCCCATTGATGGATATCATCTCACGGATGAATGAAAATGTTCCAGCGATGTGAGGGAGTGACCTGCATCCCCCTCAGTGTGGTGGAACAGTCTTTGGGGTGTGTGTATGATTAGGCGAGTTTTAGAAGACGGCTCCATGGCCTAATAATGCCTTAACCTAACTCTGAACTCAGTCTGAAACATGTCCAGAAGTGGAAGGGAAGGTTAGGGGGCCGGCATAGATTTGATTTAGGACAGGGTAATTTTGAAATCCACCTAATGCCTTAAAAAATAGTGTTGCCAAACACTGTCCCTAAACCCCTGGACTGGCGTTATCATGCCTGCTCTTTTTTAAAATGCCACACAGCATTTTTGCGAAGCTATTTTGTCGGCTAATGACAGGTGAATCTCATTTTTTTGTAAGAAAAATAATACAAATACATCAAAAGTGACATACGGCAAAAAAGAATAAAAATCAATCAGAAAATTACTCAGCTTTTAAATGCCATTTATTCAAATTTTTTTTCATATTTCGAGCTGAAAATAGTATACAATACAAGGCTGTATTTCAGCTGTATGTAGCTAAAACATGCATTTTGTTTTATAGATATCAAAAGGTAACAGAAAATGATTGTCACGAAAGTGCACTTAAAATATCTAAACCAGGGTAGACTGTCACGAAGTTGTCACAGAAAGGCACCATCTGAATTTTTTAAACAATTTATTAAATTACCATACTTTGGGGAATTATAATGCTTGGAATGGGACAAATTACTGAAAATGAGCCAGTAAGTTCAGCATGGGGAGCCATGGTATCAGAGTCAACTTTATGTTGTCAAAATGTCATGTGTCTTTTGCTTTTGTCACATGGCCCATATTTGGCCCCAGATTTCTGCTGAGAAAAAAAAACTAGTATAGTGTCTGTACTGGTTTTATATTTTTTGTTTCAGCATCAACGATTTATTACTGAGGGAAAAGAAAAAGAGCCAGAAGTCCTCCTCATTGGTGATTCAATTATCCAGCAAATGAGATTTTCCAAAGTAAGTAATAATTCTGTAATTTCGTATGAAGACCAGGCACTTTTATCTTGTCATCACAGAAAGTTAGTCCAAAAAGTTTTTAAAATGAGTATTAATGTTTGCTTGTTAGAATCCAGAGTAAGTTTAACTGCAGTTACCAAATAAGGTAATCTCTTTAACGTAAAGGCCATCTACTTTCGGTATAATCCAAGGGCTGCAATCTAGTATTGCTGACATCCAACAGTACACGTGATTACATTGTCGTGTACATGGTCTAAAGGAAACATTTCATGATCATTGTATGTTAACAATCAAGCAGCTATATACTGGATTTCTATATATTTATATGTTTAGGACAACATCATCGCATTACCGCGAATATTCAAACTGAACAAACTGAAATGTGGATTATTATTCTTTTGAGACTGAATACATTTCTGTATAAAAAAAATTGTTAACCTGTCTAGTAACATTTCAAAGATGCCCGGGACTTGATTCACAGAATGAATGTAAATAAGTAGGGGTTGCCTCAGGGCCCAACACTAGGCATTTTAACCTTTAACTGAGAAGTGGATGGTGTGGGCAACACCTCAGATGGTATATTTAGCATCTGGTGATGTGACCAGAATATGTGCAACAGTTGGTATACCTCGTTATGTAATAATAAAATTGAATAATATGTGGAAGTTGAAATGTACTAGCAAAAAATTCCAGGTTATGAATGAGCATAGTCTTTCTGGCTTTCTATCAACTTTTATATCAACTTGAATACAACAAACTCAACAAGATATAAAAGTTGATAGAATGTCAGAATAATTTGGACAAGATTGAGCTATTTGATTTTAGGTGTGGAATACCCTATTCGAACCTCTGCATTGTCTTAACTTTGGTATCGGTGGTGACCAGACACAACATGTTCTGTGGCGAGCCACTAATGGAGAGCTGGATGATGTATCACCAAAGGTAGGCAACTCTTCATGAACACAATATTCCAAAATTATATAACCCTTCCTAGAAAATATTTCAAAAAGCTGTTGATATAGATAGATGTTATCATTCTGTGAAAATATTCCTTAGACTGGCTATCATTGATTCACATTCTTTTGTCAAAGATTTTTTTTTGTGATTTAGGAGTAAAATTATGTATTTAATCACGCTTGGAAATTGACTGTTCATTCAGATAGAATTTTAGACATTGTTCTGCTTAAAAACAGATTCTCAAATGCAGATAATCCTGGTTTGAAACACTTTTACTCGGCTGTAATTGTATATTTTTTTAGTTCACCTTGCCCTTTTGGCCAGATGAGCTTATGCTGTGATGTAGCTTCTGTCGTCAGTTGTCTGGTGTCAACTTTTCCATTTAAATGACATTTTCTCAATAACTTACATATGTCGTGATATTTGGCAAGTAGATTGCTTGGATGAAGCCTGAAAAAGTTTGAAGAAAAAAATTATCTTGAGCTTTATTCAAGGTCACGAGGTCAAATTTGATAAACTATTAAAATAGCTTCTTCTGACTAACCAAAATATCCAGACAAAGGTTATAAAAAGAAATGACCCTGAATCTTATTCAAGGATACAATGGACAAATTGTCGAAACTTGTAACCAACTTCTTAAGTTAAGGAAAATCCAACAAGCAGGATATTTGGTGGAAACATGTAGCCAAGTCAAAGCCTGACAAATTTTGAGGAAAAAAAATTCAGAGTTGATTATTAGAAACTGTTGTGGATATTGAACAGAATTGATAAAATGTGCCCCACACAAGCAGAGGATCTATATCTGATGATAACTATTGTCTTCATGTTGACTAGGTAATCGTTCTTATGGTTGGTACCAATAACCATAACCACACTGCTGAGCAAATCGTGGATGGGATCATGGAGATTGTTTGTGTGATACGGAGTAAGCAAAAGGATGCACAACTTGTCGTCATGGTAATGTTTTAACTGATTATTTATCATCGTTGCTATTGTTTTCTTTTCTTGGTTTATTGCCCTGTCAACAGCGAGGATCAATTTGAGGTCTCCTAGTACTAGCTGGTGATTACTTTGCTGAACAACATATACGAGGCCCATTGCAGTATGACAGCAAGCTTCTAAAGGGCAGATTATTTCATCCACACAGACTAGTCTACACAAAAAGTCATGATGAATAGAGGGTGTTGATCTTTGATGGGATAGATTGAAGTTTACATGTGGAAACTGTTAATGTTGACATACATAAAGACTGTTTACAGAGAATGTATAAAAGATATGAAATGTATTTTTATTTTTAGCTCACCCGTACTAAAGAGCCAAATGAGCTTATGTTGTGGTGTGGTGTCTGTCCGACCAATGTCAACTTTCCTATTTTGAAAGACTTCTCAATAAACTGGAGCCCTAAAGTTATTGTTTGGCTTACAGGTTTCTTGGATAAGGCCAAACAAATCTTGAGGAAAGAAGTGACCTTGACCCAACTTTAAGGTCACAGGGATCAAATTCGTTAAAGCCTTAAACAACTTCTTCTGACCAACCAAAAATCTTAAGAAGCAAGATATTTGGCTAATAGGTTCATATGATGAAGCCCAACAATGTTTGCCAACAAAAAGGAACTTGACAAATATTCAAGGTCTCAGGGTTGAATTTGTTAAAACCTTCAAATTACTTCTTAAGCCTAGCAAAAAGGTGCAGAAGCATGGTATTTGGATTACAGGCTCCTAGGATGAGGCCTCATGGGATTTTTTTAAACAGAAATGATCCTAAACCTTCTTCAAGGTCAAAGGGATCAAATTTGGTAAAACCTTGAACTTCTTCTGATTAACTAAAGGTGAAGAAGCATGTTTGGCTGATAGGTCTTTGGGATGAAGCCTGACAATTTTTGCAAAAAAAAAAAACAGAAAAAAAGATGACATTGAACCATATTCAAGGTCACTGGGGTCAAAAGATCAAAACTTGTAAAAGACTTCTTTTGGTAAACCAAAAGTCCAAGAAGCAGGATATTTGGTGGAAAGCTGTTAGTAGGTCAAAGCCCGGCAAGTTTTAAGAACAAAAGAAATGACATTTACCAATAAATCCAGGCCCAATAGGGAAAATCTATCAATTTCTTCAAAATCTCTCTTGTTCTTCATGAGTCGTATGATATTATCCAAATTAAGTCTGAAGCATGCTTGGGTGAAGGAAAATTAGTTATGTATAACGGTGGGTTTTAGTCCCCTGAGGCCAGAAGAACAGGGCCAAATAGGGACAATCTACCAATTTTTTGTTGGACTGAAAACATTCTTGGTTAAAAGAACTTCGTTATTTACTTAAAGCTGCATCTAAGACTTGTTTGGAGGAAGGTCGCGTCTGGTACCATGAAATAGATACAAGTGTTTTAAATTCTTTTTCCTCAGTTAAAATTAATCAACATCAGCCTCTACTAATTCAGACATCAATAAGAACAGCTATAATGTGGATTCTATTAAACAGAGATGTATATTACAGAGTTTATTAGCTGTCTGTGAACTTACCTAGGTATTTGCTAGATAAAAAAATCTGTTTCTCTGAGAAGTGGGGGGAGGGGGGGGGGGGGTTGAAATTGAGTTCTGTGTATCACTTTGTACATTGACCTTTAGTGTGATATATATTTCTCTGTCACCAACATCAACAAAGGCCTAGATATTGTGATTTTTGTGTTTCAGGGTGTCCTGCCCAGAGGACAAAATCCTAACCCTCTGAGGATAAAGAATAGCAAAGTGAATTCTTTACTTGAAGGAAAACTACAACGGCGGGAAAACGTGACGTTCTTTGCTGTGGAAGATGAGGTGTTTATCGGCAGTGATGGGACAATAGGGGCAGGTGACATGTACGACTACCTTCATCTGACACCTGAAGGCTACACAAAGCTCTGTGAACCACTGCTTGAGGTGGTTGAACACTTGTTACAGCTCTTTGTCAAAGTAGACAATGTGTCCTTTGACACAGGCTCAATGGCTGGGGACCTCGCATCTGATACTCAGTGAACTGTAGACTCTAGTAGTCTATTGGATCAATCTTTCTGCTTTGCGGAATATTAGCTTTTTGTAAGAAGTTTATCATATCGAGTCGGAAGAATGTTTTTCTTGTGGAATTTGGCACTATCCCTATTGTAATCCTTGGGTATTTTGAGTGGTCACGCTGATAATACTATTGTATGAAGATATATCTAGCAGCCAAGTCTTTTCTGTTGTGAATTATGAAGGCTTTGTTACAAAACCAACAATAAAGTAAAAAAAAATAATGAAGTATAAGAATGTGTGATTAAGAGGAAAAGTTTAATATGATGTTTGTTCTATATTGCTGAGATATTTAGTCTCCATTTTCACATTTTTTGTTACCATGGAAAACAGGATGTTTGTGAACATCATTTTTAGTAAAAGTGTACAGCACTTTGCCATTTAAGTCGATTAGCAAACAGTACCTGTTTGAGAAAAAAAACATGTAAGTTCTTCACAAAAGCATCATGTTGTACATGAGTATACCTATTGTCCCATGAAGGCTGTACTGATTTTGTGAACTAAAGTGCTATCCATGTATGACTGTTAAGGATCATGTTAACTATAGCCAGGACAGTCCTTGGATGTCACACTGATTGGATTCTTGCCATATTCAAAGGCTTCTGCCCAGATCCAAGTATGGTAGTGTTAAAATATTTATGATGTATCTTGGACATTCCATATTAAATAAAGTTTACTCATAGCAATTAAAAAATGGGGGCTGCGATGGCTGAGTGGTTAAGCCGTCTGACAGTCTGACCTCTGGGTCACAGGTTCAAGACCCACATGAGGCATTCACCAGGTATTGGTTGCAAGTTGGTGGTTTTTCCTTTGGAACTCCATCTTTCCTTCACAAGCCAAACCTGGCATGTCCTTTAGTGACCCTGAACGGATGTAAATAACAATAAACAAATCAAATTAAACAAAAGGGGAATATAGTTATTTAGTCCAATTTAGATACCTGGTGTTAACTTATAAGCCTGGTGGTTCATACAGCCTGTTACTTAGGAAATAAACACACTGTTTCAATAAAATTTTCTGGGTTTTTTTTTTCGATTTTTCACAATCTAGTCTTATTAATCCTTGTATATCAATTAAAATCATTAAGTCCCATGTGCTCGTTGACTCAGATTATTTTAGTGGGTTCCTGAACTAACCACAGGAACATGGTACAACTAATTCCAGTATATTACATTAGGAGAATTACTCAATATTATTGAGTATCTTAATATTGAAATTGGAGCCGAGTCTGTTTCAACCATCAGACAGGAGTTCAGGAGAGAAGAATTAGGTTCTCTGAATCATTAGAAGGCTAATTCCTTCAGTGATCAGTGATCTGAATAAAGGATGGAAGTCACACAACCTTGCAGTGCAGTTTACTTCACTGTCATACACTGTTTTGATACCACCCAGTGCTGTTCAATGCCTGCACTTAATCTCTGTTGTTTTACCCCCAGTGATCCAGGATCATTTTTGTTGTTTGGTTTTCTATTTTCTTTGTTATTAAGACATAGAGAAATGATTTCTTAAGCTGTTTCCCCTTGTTCCTACCTGTTATGTTTAATTGTATGCTAGTATTATGATCAATGTAAGAAAATGTGTGCCACAACCTATTTAACAATGTATTTCCAACTACTGCCCAATGTATTTCATCTCTAGGACTCAGAAACATATTTTTCTGTTTATACCGGGTATGTTTATCAAAAAAGTATACCGCATATCAGGAAGTTTTTGCTGGTTTTTATATTTTTGTGTATTTAGCAACCATTTCAAAAATGATAAAAATGAATTAATTAAAAAAAATTGCATGTTTTCTGGTTATTGGAAATATGTAAATAATGCACCATTAGAGTTGATGAATCTACATCTTTGCATGACGCAAAAATATCCCGATATACGGTATTGCTTATAGATTTGGGTGAAACATGTACATTGTAATTTCATAAGAAGTAAACTTTAGTTATAAATTTGGATGAAATTGAAAAATTCCTGTTTCATGATAGAAATTGATTCACACATAATTTTAGAAGTAAAATATCATTCATGAAAATGACTATAACAGATTTAGCTCGTATGGCAGTCTTTTATCATGAGATTTCACATTAAATATGATATTACAGAAATGATTGAAGAATTATGTGTAAGTAGTGTTATTCCTTCAATGTTATACAGCCACAATAACATCTCACAGGTTAAGTCTTTTCTAACATACTTATCAACATTTAAACATTCAATCTTCCCTTCAAAGTCATTGAAATTGTTGTATTATGTTAATATTTGTGAAATTTCATAGCAGCTTATATTTGACAATTGAAATAATTTAGTTTGAAATAATTGTTCGTACTATATAGATATTGAAAAATTTTTTTTTTAAAAAATGTGAAAACTGAAATATATTGTCAACATTCCGCAGTCACCATACACCATAAAAAAACCAGTGTTGTGGGTGTGCTTGTGTACTAGTAGAGTGTCTTTTTTCCTTTGCTTGCATATCTATATTGAATATTTTAAGAAGGAAGTGAAATTTATTTACACAATAAACTTGTTTAATTGACTTTTAATACCATGGTTTATTGTATGCAGTATTTTCTGAAGATATTATACATAAATGCAGGTCATTTTTAAGTTTAAGAAAATAATCTATTCATTAATTTAGCTGAATGAATAAAATCTCTCATCATGTCATTATTGTTAATGTTCTTGATAAATAAAAAAACATTTCGGTTTGGAAAAGGAAGTGATAATTTGAAATTTATAATTAACTTGAAATCAATTGTAGTTCTCTGTATCACTGCTGTTACCAGGAGTGTGAAATATTGGAGGTTTAGAGTACTGACGAGCAGAATTATGATTCTAATGCCAAAAACTATGCTTATATCTACCCTATACCCAAAAATTCAACAAGTAGTTTATTTTGGGTATAGTTTTCAAAGCAGTTCATATGTTTAAGTATTCTTCTTATACATATCGAATTTAACGCAGAAATCATTTACTTTAATTTCTCTGATCAGGTGAAAATTTGATGCAAAGTGTGATGCCAAATTGTGATTGGAATTGTTTTCCATCAAGATGGAGAGATTTTTTAACTTTTGTTTCTTTTTATGTTATCTTGTGTGGACAAAGTGTAAATGGTTACTATGGCCACTTATAAAGGAAGCAACAGGGATAGGAGAAACTAGAGTCTAGAGTCTATATGATTTTTAAACATCATTTGAATGTAAATCCTGCAAGACTATAATCTTGTTATTGAAGATCTTTGTGATAACATGATGAGGTTTATAACAGACATGGACGTTAATGTTGAAACAAAACAAATCTGTCATCATATCAATGTAGAATCTATATATGTAATACTACAGTTAATCCAGAAATAATTGTGTATATCAAGACTTGTATATTTGGTAAATATCTTGTCATTTAAAGTCTTCGATCCTGATCGTGTACAAGACTTGTATATTTGGTAAATATCTGTCATTTAAAGTCTTCGATCCTGATCGTGTACAAGACCTGTATATTTGGTAAATATCTGTCATTTAAAGTCTTCGATCCTGATCGTGTACAAGACTTGTATATTTGGTAAATATCTGTCATTTATAGTCTTCGATCCTGATCGTGTACAAGACTTGTATATTTGGTAAATATCTGTCATTTATAGTCTTCGATCCTGATCGTGTACGAGACTTGTATATTTGGTAAATATCTGTCATTTAACGTCTTTGATCCTGATCGTGTACAAGACCAGTATATTTGGTAAATATTTGTCATTTATTGTCTTCGGTCCTGACCTTGTACAAGACTTGTATATTTGGTAAATATCTGTCATTTAACGTCTTCGATCCTGATCGTGTACAAGACTTGTATATTTGGTAAATTTCTGTCATTTAACGTCTTCGGTCCTGACCTTGTACAAGACTTGTATATTTGGTAAATATCTGTCATTTAAAGTCTTCGATCCTGATCGTGTACAAGACTTGTATATTTGGTAAATATCTGTCATTTAAAGTCTTCGATCCTGATCGTGTACAAGACTTGTATATTTGGTAAATATCTGTCATTTAGTCTTCGATCCTGACCTTGTACAAGACCTGTATATTTGGTAAATATCTGTCATTTAGTCTTCGGTCTTGATCGTGTACGAGACTTGTATATTTGGTAAATATCTGTCATTTAAAGTCTTCGATCCTGATCGTGTACAAGACTTGTATATTTAGTAAATATCTGTCATTTAAAGTCTTCGATCCTGATTGTCTACAAGACCTGTATATTTGGTAAATATCTGTCATTTAACGTCTTCGATCCTGATCGTGTACAAGACTTGTATATTTGGTAAATATCTATCATTTAACGTCTTCGATCCTGATCATGTACAAGACCTGTATATTTGGTAAATATCTGTCATTTAAAGTCTTCGATCCTGATCGTGTACGAGACTTGTATATTTGATAAATATTGGTCATTTATGGTCTTCGGTCTTGATCGTGTACGAGACTTATATAAGACATATTTGGTAAATATCTGTCATTTATAGTTCAGTCTTGATCATGTACAAGACCTGTATATTTGGTAAATATATGTCATTTAGTCTTCGATCCTGATCGTGTACGAGACTTGTATATTTGGTAAATATCTGTCATGTATAATCTTCAGTCTTGACCTTGTACAAGACTTGTATATTTGGTAAATATATGTCATTTAGTCTGCGGTCTTGATCGTGTACGAGACTTGTGTATTTGGTAAATACCTCATTTATAACCTTTAGTGGTAAATGTTATTGATTAACTCTGATCCTGATTGAGTACAAGACTTGTGTATTTGGTAAATGTATATCACCTACAAGCTTAACACTGTATGTGTATGATACTGATATAAGCTTCTGTCGCAGCTTGTAATGATTCGTCACCATTTGCTACTGCATTCACCAGAATATTAAAGATATTGAACAAAATTTGTTTCATCTTGTATTTTAAATATTACAATCAGGATAAGAGAAGGCTTCTGCCATTTTATCTCCGATGATGTGAATGATTACTTCTGTCAAATATCATTTACCTTGGCTATGCAAATAAATGCTGATACTGCGGCAGGGGAAGATTAGGAGGGATCTGAACCAAAGTTGAAAGATTGGGGGATCTCATCTGAGGAAAGATAAAAGGAGTCTCATCCCAATGGGAAGATTAGGCAAATCTCAACCGAAGGGGGTATATTAGGGAGATCTCAACCGCAGGGGGTAGATTAGGGGTCTCATCCCAATGGGAAGATTAGGGAGATTTCAATCGCAGGGGGTAGATTAGGGGTCTCATCCTAAAGGGAAGATTAGGGAGATCTCAACCGCAGGGGGTAGATTAGGGGTCTCATCCTAAAGGGAAGATTAGGGAGATCTCAACCAAAGGGGGTAGATGTGGGGTCTCATCCTAAAGGGAAGATTAAGGAGATCTCAACCGCAGGGGGTAGATTAGGGGTCTCATCCTAAAGAGAAGATTAGGGAGATCTCAACCAAAGGGGGTAGATTAGGGAGATCTCATCCTAAGGGGAAGATTAGGGAGATCTCAACCAAAGGGGGTAGATTAGGGGTCTCATCCCAATGGGAAGATTAGGGAGATCTCAACCAAAGGGGGTAGATTAGGGAGATCTCATCCTAAGGGGAAGATTAGGGAGATCTCAACCAAAGGGGAAGATTAGGGAGATCTCAACCAAAGGGGAAGATTAGGGAGATCTCAACCAAAGGGGGTAGATTAGGGAGATCTCATCCTAAGGGGAAGATTAGGGAGATCTCATCCTAAGGGGAAGATTAGGGAGACCTCAACCAAAGGGGGAAGATTAGGGAGATCTCAACCAAAGGGGAAGATTAGGGAGATCTCGTCCTAAGGGGAAGATTAGGGAGATCTCATCCTAAGGGGAAGATTAGGGAGATCTCATCCTAAGGGGAAGATTAGGGAGATCTCGTCCTAAGGGGAAGATTAGGGAGATCTCAACCAAAGGGGGTAGATAAGGGGTCTCATCCGAATGGGAAGATTAGGGAGATCTCAACCAAAGGGGGTAGATTAGGGGTCTCATCCTAAGGGGAAGATTAGGGAGATCTCAACCAAAGGGGTTAGATTAGGGAGATCTCAACCAAACGGGGTAGATAAGGGGTCTCATCCCAATGGGAAGATTAGGGAGATCTCAAACAAAGGGGTTAGATTAGGGAGATCTCAACCAAACGGGGTAGATTAGGGGTCTCATCACAATGGGAAGATTAGGGAGATCTCAAACAAAGGGGGTATATTAGGGAGATCTCATCCTAAGGGGAAGATTTGGGGGATTCAAAGGGGGAAGATGGGCGAGATCTCGACCCAAAAGGAAATATTAGGGAAAACTCTTCCTTAGGAGAAAGATTGTAGGGATCTATAAGAATTAATATTCATCCTCTTGTGGGAGGGTTAGATTCCATATAAAGAAGCCTTGTATATTAGAATTAATATTCACCCTCTTGTGGGAGGGTTAGATTCCATATAAGGAAGCCTTGTATATTAGAATTAATATTCACCCTCTTGTGGGAGGGTTAGATTCCATATAAGGAAGCCTTGTATATTGAAATTAATATTCACCCTCTTGTGGGAGGGTTAGATTCCATATAAGGAAGCCTTGTATATTAGAATTAATATTCACCCTCTTGTTGGAGGGTTAGATTCCAAATAAGGAAGCCATGTATATTAAAATTAATATTCACCCTCTTGTGGAAGGGTTAGATTCCATATAAGGAAGCCTTGTATATTGAAATTAATATTCACCCTCTTGTTGGAGGGTTAGATTCCAAATAAGGAAGCCATGTATATTAAAATTAATATTCACCCTCTTGTGGAAGGGTTAGATTCCATATAAGGAAGCCTTGTATATATTGGCAACTTAATAATCTTTCTCCTCTGATGGAAATTGCCTTCTCTCCACCCCAAAGTGAAACTAGCCAGGCGTAAAATTTCAGAATTAAGATGACCTGCAGGTCATTAAAAGGCTACAGGAAATGGTTTTATGAAGCATATTTCATATCTTCTAAGATATTGTCATAATGTCCGGTTGTTTTATTAAAGATACAGTGCTGAAGAAAAATCAAAATGAATTTCCATTATTTTTGTAAGCTTCTGTTAACAAACACAGCTGACAAGAGAGTGGTTCCCAGTCTTTATTGAGATATAAATATTACAACACAGACTGACACGGTCTCATGTGGTCAGGTATCACCCAGACCTATGGACAATATATCACGTCTCTCGCACACCTCCTTATATATATTTATCTATCATATCTATCATACATGCCCCTCTTCACCAACCCAGTCAACAACAAAAGACCCTCCCGATTACTTAACCCTCTCCTAATGCTCACCAGCCAACAAAAACTTCCCCCATCATTTACTTTAACCTTCACTCCCCCCCCACCTCCAAACCCTCTTTCCTCCACTCAACCATCTAATTCTAATTAAAAAAACAACCTCCCCATTATTGAACCGTTTCCTGTCTCTTACACCTGTGTGTATACTTGAAGTTCCCTTCACTAGCATACTAGCTTCACATTTCTGTTCTCTCCTGTATCCTGTCAGCAACTTCAATATCCTCTTTTCAATGCTTCACAGACTAAAATTAATCATTATTCCGATTAGTGACAAAATTATGTTGCTGAATTCAGAGCCAAGAAAAAATATTCAGACATTATTCCAAACTCAGGGGCTTAAATATGTGAATTGAACCAATGTTAATCATTAGGAATGAAAGCCTTGACAAGTCCTCAAATGAAAATAGGTAAAGTCTGACCTCCTCCAAACCCTTTCCCTGATAATGGAATACCGTCTTTGTAAATAGCTAGTATACATATGGCCTCTATGCAAAATATACTTTTCTAATATAATGTGTTGGAGGCAAATTCCCTGAGCCTCTACAGAGATAAATAAGTGTCCAGCCTTCAAACAGATATAAATACCTTCCTCATAGGTCTAAAACAACCATCTCTCACTGTATCCTCTGACCGCTGCAACGAAAGAGATGATATCCTTTTTTAGTCGTGAACAGCTGCATTACAGTCCTTTCACACATAAATAAAGACCTGATCCTATGAGATGAAGATATCACTTGTTCACAAAGTATGATTTGAATCCACCCCTACCCCTCCAACAAAGCCCGACAATTAAGGAGAAATTTGGCCTGTGAAGAACATATATCATTGCACCTAAGCATCTAATTGATACTCAGTCCACAGGTGTTCAAAAAAACCTCACCCAGCATTGTCTCAAATTTCTTGTTTGTGATAATTCTAAGCACAGCCTTAACCATTTCTAGGAATACCCTCCAAACCTTCGATATATAATTGATTTGAAGGTAAAAGATATCATTGTCATGTATGAACACCTTGACAATGGGACAAAAACATACACATCAGTTTGTGTTAAATAAACTGACGAATATTATAAACATGCACTACTTAATTTATATGATGCTTCATGACTTTCAGTTGCAAACCTTTCAGCACTTTCTGTTGTCTCTTTCAGTTTGTAGTGTACAAATCCAGTACATTCAAATCCTGCACTGGTTTACATGTCTGATTTTTAAAACCGAACGATGTGTGGCAGAAATATTCTTAAATACAATCTGCCGCCTTTTTGGCAGCTACAGCCAGTCTGTGTTTATAGTGATCAGCGAGGGCTCAATGTCCTTCAAAAGCAGAAAAGAAACAGATGACCTTTTGCAGAACATCTGGATTATGTCTGATGTATGGCTTTTGTATGAGCTAGTCTGCCACTAAGTCCCCCAAAGATACATATCAAGTGCACCAGACTGCTGCCAATGTCTCAATAAACAAAAGAAATTAGAATAGTTCATGATTCCTACACAAATTCATATTTGTCCACATAAAACAGCGTTTCTGATGAATATTTAACTGGTTGTTCACCATCCAACATCACGACCTCCGAAATCTGAAAAGATAACAAGACCTTAATATTAAAAATGATTGATGAAACTTAAATTCCTTAGAATGTACGGTAACCTGGTCATCATTAGGTGGTGGCAAGGTTGCTCGTTTACCATTTTTGTGCATGGCAAGTGCAAGCCCAGAAAAAATACATATATAAATGAAAGCTGCCAGCTAAAAGCTTGTTGCTGGTCACTGGCACATCAGAATCAAGAACTGTTTTAAATCTTAATAATCTCTAGGAGTTTTGAAACTTTGAGATCATTCAGGAAAATCTGAAAAGTTTCATTTTCAAGATTGACCATTTTCTCAGAATCTTATCATAAGTCATTTAAGGCAATTTCAGCCGTTTTTGACCAATATTCTTTGGTATACACTAGTAAAACTATTTTCATCAAGAATATTTCAAATTTATCTTTCAAAAAAAAAAATTTTTGACTACATATTAAGGGTGAGGTATTTCCAACATATATGATATAACTTGATCACAATCACCTATACACAAACAACATACCTGTAAATCACAGTATGATAATTTGGACACAAATGACACGTCGACAGGGAAGAAATCATCGGGATGACCGGCTATACTGAATTCTAGAGTGCCATTCTTATTGGATTTGTCTATTACAGGAAGGGACCACTGTAGCTGGTTTTTTCGACTATCATAATTATATTCGCCATCACAGTCTCCGACAACTGGTCCACCAACACCCGACCTGCAATCAACATTACAAGCAGTAAGTTCTCTATGTCCAAGGGGCAAACCTAATGCCAATGTCAGGAGGTGAGCTTATCACAGGACAATGAAAGGCCATTGTTAAAATTTTTACTGAACAGTATTATATTGTGGGCTTGTTTCAAAGCATGGGCTTAATGCCAGACAAGCACTGTAGTAAATCATTTTCCTTAGTAAGAAAGTGAAATAGTTTTTTTCTTTTTTTGTCGATTCTCATGAAAAGAATTTCAATTTCAAATATTTGTAAGATTTAGAGGTAGTTTTAGGATACTTACGGGAGAGGAATTGTGATGAGTACATCTTGCAGTTCCAGTGAAGGCTGTTCTAGGCCATACTCAATATTCACCTCACAGCCATCTGGTGTCTCATTTGGCCAACAGTTTACTGTTTAAAGAAACCAAAACTTTGTTATCTAGAGAGAAAGTCTCATTAAAATGCTAAGTGATTCATGCTGAAAAAACGTCATTTCATTTATTTTTCCAATAAATGAATAAAAAACAATCACCATAAAAAAAAAGCCTTTTCTAGATCAGAAAACCAAAAGGGATAATAATATCAACATGTCATTCTGTTCCATAATATATATTTTGTTTCCTTGAGTCTAAGAACAGAATAAACACAAATTTTGAAAGTTTTGTGTTGCCCAAAAAGTAAACAAGAGATCCCAGAGGGATTTTTGTGCCATAACATTGTTTGATCTTTTTACTCTCTTTTTTTTTTTTTTTTGGGGGGGGGGGGGGTCGTTTGGATCTTTTTACTTCTTTTCTCCTCTGTTTTGCTCTTAATTACATGAAATTTGAACATTCCTCTTTGAAATAGCAATTACAAACTTTCAACTTTGAAATCCAATATGGCCACCTGGTGTCCATTTTCTTTTTCTGATCAGTCTCAAAATCAATTGGACACAACTAGGGATCAAAGGAAAGAACCCTACATATGAGATCTGAGAAAGACCCATCCAGTCCTTTTCAAGAAATAGTGACAACAAAAATTCTTCACAGATGTATGGACTAAAGACGAAGGGCGATTTTAATAGGCCATCATCTGATGATGGTAGGCTTAGAAAAACTGTTTAGATATCTTTACTCATTCAAATATTCTTGTCAAATATGAAGGTCAGTAATAAGGCATTTCAAAGTCAAAGCTCTTACAAATATTTAAGTTAAAGATGAACAATGTAACATTTTAAAATCAACAAAAACCTTCAACAAATAATTTTCTTCTTCATAACCACGACTAGAGGGATCAACTGGGATATCTTTAAAGTTATATTGCCCAGGATATTTATACTTACTTGACAAAGGCATGAAAGCCTCATCTTGTGTCTGGAACCTCCACTTAAGAACACCCACATCTTGGCCAATAGGGAAAGGTTTGTCTGGGTTCTTTAGAACTACACATGATGTTGAGTTGAACAATTTTTTGTCTATGTTTGGATGAGTCTACAAAAGAAATGAATGGTTTCCCTTCAGCTCTCTTTTTTGTAACGATATAGTTATTACGATTATTGGTTTTTGTATTATGAATAAAGTATATGAAATGAACACAACAATAGTTATGTTTTTCAATTATAATCTGAGCAGTGCTCAACACATACCTCAGCTGTGTCTTTTTATATGTTACCATTGCAACAACAAGACCTCCTTACCCAAGAACGATCTATATTTTCATGAATTTGATGCCTTATAAGCATGAAAGGTGGTCACTGAAACCAATCTCTCGTATCAGGATATCTTCTGAGACTTTTTGGAGGTGATAATGGGCCCCATTCCCACTTGAATTTGTTGCATATCTTCCATAAACCGAATTACCAAAATTTGAACTTTACTCTAGAAAATTTCCTTCCCAATTCATAAATTTTCCCCCAAAATGAGGCAAAAAGGACCCATTCCAAACCAATGATAAGAAAAATGTGAACCGTTTTTAGAGATGTACCCATGAAAAAATCTTCAGTTTCTTCGCAAATTACTAAAGTAGAGATATGCATGTACTTACCTGCATCTGAATGCCTCTCTGGTCATTGTTCACCATGTTGATCTTGATACGACCACAATCAGAGTCATTCACCTTGACTTTGCACATTCCATGTATCTCCATATTCTGTAAGCCACCGTCACGACCTGCAGATACGGAGATCTTTTCCTCTATTGCAATGTGGACTCTGTCAAAAAAACACAATTTCAATGTTTGAAATCTTTACTGATGTGTATGGTAAAACCAAAATTCAAACATTCAATTTCAAATTTTGACCAAGTATTGGTATAAATTATCTGAAACACTAACAAATGAGATGCAAAATTTGATCATATGGATTGAATCAAAATACATGATATAAATGATGAAACCTATTCATACACATTATACAGGTTCAATTTAAACAAATTTAATCTCCATCAAAACAAAATTTTCCATCTTATTTCATCAGATCAAAACAAAATCAGATCATATCCAATCTATCAACATTCTCCAACCAATAAATCTCTTATGGAATAATCTTAAACTCCACTGCATCAGAATCATCTACTGTCAGACGATTTTTTTTATGATAGCCCACTTACCCATCCTGGTCTACTGCTGGTGTACTGGCTTTGGCTACTGTTGAAGACAGGGATGTTGTTGCCTTGGATACTTCTGTAAACATCAACATAAATTACACCAAACATAGTTCTTTTCAGCATTCTCAACAACAACAAAAAAAACACACAAAAAAGTCCATCAAACTTACAATAGAATTCATTCAAACAGTACCATATTTACTTCCAGCTGCATTTTTTTTAGAGCACCTGCCAATGGTTGATTTTCTTTAGTGAGAAATTTACAGGGTTAACTCTTTGAGAAATATTTATATTTGTTAAGAATTATTCTGATTCCTAACTTGTCCAAGGATGGAAAGGATAGAGTAACAAAAGAAGAAAAAATATCTGTCTTTACAGTAACTCAACAACTAGGTTAGCCATAGCTTTTAGTAAAACCCTTCTAATTGGAAAAATAAAACCATTTCCTAACAGAATAAACCTGTCTATTAATCAAATGAGATAAGATCACTTGATAGCAATATTATCTTGTTAAGCTCTCAATATCATAAACCTATTTCTGACAGTTTCCTCTGTACATACTTTCTCCCTCTGACTCCAGCTGTCCAACAAATGTGTCTACATCCTTCTTCTTACTTCCCAAACGCAAGGCTTTTCCTCCACCTGTCGGTCGGCTGTAATTCAAAGACCAGACATAGAGAAAATATGAACACTGCAGCAACTATGGTCATCAATAAAACTGGCAGAGAATTTCAGTCTCAAATATATTTATCATGCAATTAGCCCAAAGGGCCAACACGTAACTTCTGTCTAAATTCTGAGAGGTGAACTTGATATTTGACTACACGTCATGACAGGAAAGGCCTTGGTAACACTCTAAACACCATGAAAATGGTAGGGATATAAATTGAAAAATACTTAAAAAAAAGAGAATACACAATTTGATAAGAGAAGATAGCATTCCTACCTGGCAGGTGCTGTGTATGAGGGCTTAGGTGTGTCGGTAGGTGTGTCCATGACAGAACTTTGGGATGAAGATGAATAGGATGAACTTCCAAACCCACCACCAAATCCAGCACTGCGGCCCCCACTTTTCTGGGCATCGCGCCGTTGTGCCTGAAGTTCCTTGGCTCTCTTTTTCATTAGATCCTTGGCTTCTCTTTCTTGTGTCTACAATGTATATAACAACAGAACCGAGGGATTAGGTTAGATAACAATAATTGTTGTATCTCTCAATCAATTTGCGTTGGAAGACTGGGTTTGGCAATAATACTTCTTAAATAGGTCAATGAAAACAAAATTTTGTATTTCCATCCTGATATCTATGTTTTTGCTTGAATTAAAACAACAATAACCAGTTAAAAAGATGTGTCTATTTGGTTTCCTTCACTCTGATTATTTTCTGGGGTAGGTGGTTTTGTATGGAGGAATACCAGGAGATTTGCTTACCTCTCGAACAGACTTTGCTACAGCCTCCTCATGCGAGTCCATTTCTGTAAATGTACGAATTTGTGCCAGGTTGACATTTTCTCGATAACCTAAAGCGACCACCTCGTCAAATGCAAAGATGAGAGGGAAGGCTTGATCTACGATATCACTTTCCTCCATGTTTCTGCAGTACTCTGGTATCTGTAAAGCAGAAAGACAACTCAGCAATCATGGTAATAAGATTATTGTATATACTTCATTATCACATGCTTTTGACACATTCTCAGTTAATTTTTTATTAAAAAATACAAAAGATATTGTGACCATAGAAATGTACTAATGTACATAAAGATTGCTTTTCAGATATTTTCATTCACACACAAACAGGTGTGATATGTAATTTATACTGGCTTTTAGTGTTTTCGTTGATCTCGGACTTCAATTTTTTTTTACTTTGACAGAAGTTTACAGGATAGTAGTTAAATGTCAAATACGTAATAAATTTTTCAATCGTGTTAAATATAATAGAATATCTGCTTAATCAGTTAATCCCTAAAGCATTGTTATCAATATGTCCATGACAAAGGCACTTAATCCAAAATGCTTAGAATGACACATTTTATGCTTTCTGCATGATGTTCAGTGAGGTAGCCACCAGTTACTGAAAGAAAGCTTCACTTTTAAATAATTCTGTTTGTGGCTGTTCACAGGTGATAAACCCAGAAAATATACAAAGAAGCATGATGCTACTTACTACTCTGGCAAACAGTCTTAAAGTTTCCAGATCCTCCAATATATTACTGGCCTTTGTGGTTATCAGAACAACATAGAGCTTCTCTAGTGGTTGGTACACATATCGTACACTCTCTGTCTCCACAAATGTGTGCTGCTTGCCTGTGTTCATCAGCTTAGGGAAGGCAGCCAATAGGCCTTCTATACGGGAGCGTGTCATCTCAACGAACTGTCGTGAGATGATTGCTGCAATGACAACCACAAAAGACAACTACAGATACTTGGTATTATAGATATAAAACAACTGAAATGAAATGATCTTTTGTGAAGTGAACTTGTTTAAGTTTGCTCTTGTAAAAAAAATAGATGTCAGAACGAGCACAAAAGATCTTCCCAGGTACTAATTATTACATAATTGTAAACAGTTATAGCAGTATCAACTATATTTTCATGGTTTCGGATGTGTGATACTATATCTAGAATATGAAATTAAAGAAATAAAGAACATTGTGTGTAATTACATACAAGAATACAATAGAACAGAAGTTTCTGACCTAGGAATAGAAATGAAAAATTTTGGCAAAAAAGCCATAGCATAAATGTTACTGTAAAATTCTAGCCACCAGTCATAACAGATAATTTAGCTACTTACCTTTCCCCGACTTGTTGCATACCGCTGCTGCCAGCAGCACCTATTAACATAAAACAAATAATTTAATCAACCACTCTTTATACTTTTGATTTTTCAGCATAAAACATTTTGAACAAATTTCATATCATGAAGATCTGTTTTTGAATCAGTGATATTTCTTGGTCATGTTTTACAGTCCTTGGTAGACCGCCCCTCCCAGTCACGCATTAATATTACCAAAATGAGTTTGTAATCATGCAAAATTGTCCACTAGAGTTTAATGATCCTGAGATTAAGTCATAATTTGAACCTGTTTCAAGGTTTCATATCGGTCTGAAACTTTAAAAAATGAAAACCAACGTTCTTGGAAATAACAAAATTGAATAAAGAGGAATGCAGTAGAAATAAAATGGTTTGATAATAGTATTGTTTTAGGAGTGAATACAAGAAATAGAAGAGAGAAATTGACCAGGTGTTTATTGCTTTGAATACCAGTCTTGTCTAACTACATTTTCTCTGTTGCAGTGACGCTAGTAACCAAATGTTGTTTATCACATAATTATCAATAATGTTGATTGTGTACTGATTGTCTTACAGCATGATTTATTTCCATTGTTTACCACATTAACAAGCCTAGTCTCAATTGCAAGCATCCAAAATATAAAATATCTAGATTTTTGATTTCAGGTATCATACCAATTTTCCTATCTCATTTGATAATTACAAACACCTTTTGCTTGTTGTTATTTTTTGGATCTTTTTCATAACTTTTATTACTTCCAAAATTTTATATTTTTTCAGAAGCAACAAAAACTATCAAAATCATGACAGGAGGCTATTGGTTACAGATATAATTTTACATGTTTAGAAATGATAGCGAGTCATTGTCAATGTTTGAGCAAAGAAAAAAGTGTAACTGTTTAAGTCAGCTGACAACTGACACCCCGTGTGGCTAAACTGCTACCAATATAACACATATTTGCTGAAATTATTATCCTTTATGGACAGTCATTAATTATTATCAGGAAAAATAACTTTATAAACTTTCCTCACACAAACATAGTTTAACCTTCTCACCATGAAATGTTTGCAACACTTCACATCAAATATTAGCTGCATATTATTGTTGAATGGAATGCTGATTTTCAATTATAATACAATAAACTGTGATAAGGTTGCATTTGAATGGTGACAAAGGGTTCAAATTAAATAAATGACAGGTACAAATTTGATAACCTTGTTTACCTTTTGCAAGCTTTTGAAAGCATATTTCCTTTATCATACAAGTGTGAAAGTTTCAACTGATGTTTGTAATTAAGATGAATTTCATTCTGAATGTGACATGCACATGTTTTATTTCAAGATGACCTAAAAATATGCTTTAGTATATACCGGTATAGAAAAGATGTATCTACCCAATTTTGATATATAGTACTGCATACCCTAATAGTGTAAACAAAAGAGACAGGGTGTGATTATTTATATAACAATGTTAATTACTAGATTCTAGTCTAGTGTCAGTGGTTCTTATTCTGTATCCAGCTGTAAAAGCAACCCTGCAATTCCGCAATTTTATAAGGTTCTTCCAGCTTCTAAGTACTCTTGTAAAACATATCTGAAAATTCCGTTCTGGTTTCAACAACAGCGAAGCGGGTCGTGTAATTCAAAGAAGATCGTGAAATATCAATTCAATGTGTTCATCTGCATAAGCTATCGTATTATTTCATTTTTTTTCTGCTCTGTTTTCACTAACTTTACCAAAATTTCAAGGGAAGTGAGGGGGGGGTGTAAGCCGGCATACAAACAGAGATGATTCGACAGATAACTGATCAAAACAAAAAAATGCAAGGCATTATAATAAATCAATTCACTTAAGATATTACCATGGTTGTCACTAGATGATTTAACTGATGTCGAATTTGGCGTATACGTGTTGGAAGTTGTTCGTCTACCAAGTACACGAATGTCAGCACAGCTTTCCAGCCACGTCAATCTAGTTTTATATCAATCCGCAAATCCGTTATATTTTCCTTGCCATTTCGATGATACCTACATAACTTTTGATGTGTATTTTTTCAAGTCACCCTTTTAAAGTTATATTTTCTTTTTTGACTCTGAATTGCACAAAACATGTAAATCTAGCACCACTTTATTTTACATTTATTTTCTTCTGCGGATTGAAGTAGTTCGTCGCCGGAAGTTAAATTTGCTCCGTTACTGCTGGATGTGTTGGAAATGAAAATATTTGTTTTAAACATGAACATAAAAATAAGAATAAAGTATGCTTATTGTTTTCATTGTTTCTTGTTTATTACATAGACTTACCGTTGAAAATAAATATAGTTTATTCATATCAACATTCGCTTTTTTCCTCGCACTAGCAATCACGTGACCACATTGAAAATGGTGGTTTCCGATTTCCTGATCAACAATAAAAGAAAAGAACAAAAGTTGTAAACATTACCACTAAGGAGAACTACGGACCACAACAAAGTTTCTGTTCAGGGTTAGACTTCGATCAAACGGTAAGAGTTCTTATTGCTGTCTTCTGATTTTCATTGGCGTGGTTTCAGCTTCAGTTTTTGAACACGCCTAAAAAATTGGATTCTGACAGGTCAGCGAGTGCCCTGTTGCAGATGCTGAGTTGCTTCCAAAGATGCGCATTATCTCGAATATTCATTATTAATTGTTAAAGCATCAACTGCTGCATTCTTTCCTTTTTCAAGATTCGGTGCTTTGTTTTACCATTTTTAGCGAGACTCCAATAAGGCACTGTCAATTTTGATAAAATGGTTATAAATGTTGACTTAAATTAAAACTAGGTACGGCATTTTATTATCCTTTCAATTTTTCAACGAAGCGTACAGGAGCTCTGAAATTTACCAATCTGTATTTACGATTAAGACAGATATATTCACAGCGTCATGCTTTCATTTGCTGTGTTTAGAATATAACCTATGTGACAGGCAACTGTGAGACCAAAAGAATTTAAGGTTGTCTTGCATTTGCTCCATAAGTGTTGTGTTTTCAAACTAAAAGGATAGATGGGGTTTAACTTGTTATCTGACTGACATGTTGATGTAGCGTCAGTTGCATGATCTCATGTAGCAGACTTCTTTGTAGTCATATTTAAAGCAAATTGAATTGTACATTTTAAATAAATCTTCAAATTCTTTGACTGCACACTATATAGGTGGTATGCCATCTTACCATGGATGACATTCAATGCCTTTTCCTTGGCTATTATCGGGAAAAATAGAAAATTGTGACAAAATTCATGCCTGTGTAGTTTTAATAGTTTTTTTTTTTTTTTAAATTGAAATAAAATTGAAAATTCAGACGTTAAAGTTTTAAACAGGGCTCTCACACCCCATTTTGGGACTGGGGCCCGGGGCCCTTAGAATTGGGAAAAATAGCAGCGTTTTCCTTAGAATTGGGAAAACTTGGGGTCTAAATTGGGAAAAGAAGATACTATTTTGCATTGGGAATTTGGCCCCAAATCTGGCAGATCAAGAGCCCTGTTAAATACTTACAAATTTAAATGTTGAAGTTTTTAAGATTTACAAATTCAGAAGTCTTGATTTGTGATGAGAACCTACTTCAGAGAAAGTAAACTTGAGATCAACACATCCTATTGTAATAATAACTAGCAAGTGATCTTATAAATAATATCAACCCTAACTAAATAATCACACATAATGAAAATTAATGACACAACTTGCAAACTGGTCCTCTGATATATAATTTTTTGTGGATGGTCATACTTCATTCATTTTCTCAAATCACTATATCTTCGACATGCTCCTTCATTTTGCGTCTGATTTTGAACAAAAGTGGCCACCATTTTGATTGTATGCTGCTAGTTCTACCTTGATAAGTTGGAAAATGTAAACTTAATTTCACTTAGAAAATCATTCCATGAGCATCCTATAATAACGATTATCTTACAATTTTCTATTTTTAGAAATATCTTTATATTGTGTATTGGTTAGGAGATCATATTAAAAAGTGAAAACAAAAGTAGAATACACACTTCTTGTTTAGAAAGAAATCATTGGAAAATTGGTTGTCTTTCTTATTAGACATGTATTCATTCATATGTAATCGATCATTGGGACAATACTATTTAATTTACATGGTTTGGGTTTCTGTTTAAAATGCGTTTGAGATATGAAACTTGAATTTTCTGGAAGAAAACACAAATAAAAAAAATCCTAGTTGAAATTTCTGCCATTGTAACTGAGTTTACGTACATGTAAAATAATGAGTGAAAAAAATGAAAAAACGTGTAGAATATATTTTTTTTTATATCACAATCAGTAAGAAATTAAGGTTTTATGTTTTATTGATTACATTATCAACTTCAGATGAATGACTAGTATGTGGCATATTAGCAGTGATGTGTTTAAGATGCCAAACTTGTAATCAGTATCATGCAAAATCAGGATGAAGTGTTTATTAAATGTGATAGCAGCTAGAAAGACAGAAAACTATTGATAGGTAGTTTGGGACATTAAAACACATGTTGGTTTTGTAAGGCAAAGCTAGCTATATAACTTTAATCTTTCAATTATGTGGTTTCTTATAATCTTTCTCATTTTTTTTTCAATTTAAAAAAAAATTATACTTTTTCACAATCCCAAAGTGCATAAACATTAGTTTTATTTTCAGTTTTAATTTACAATGGAAACAAAATGGACTATCAGGACCTGTTTTATATAAATATGCATTAGTTGTCAAACTGAGTTGATTAATTCTAAATTGAAGCCATTGTAACTTTGTATTTCTGCTAATTATGAATGGTAGTCAGGGTTTCCCATAAGAGCCGGTCGCCGGCCAATTTGACCGGCTACTTTGATCATTTGGCCGCCTACACCAATCCAGTTCCGTAATAATGTTCTGTACACAACTACATGTACACGGCAGGACAGCCTCCTACTTTCACTACACAGCCTACTATTGACAAAATTATGGAAAACCCTGGGTAGTAGTATTTGTCACCATTCATCTTTGTCAAATTCAAGTATTTCTTTTGTTTTTTTTCCTCCTAGTAGATATGGAATTGTCTTTTATTCCTTATTTATTCTTATTAAATAATTCTAAATTAATTGGGACATATGGGTAAGTTATATTGGCATTTGCAATGTCTTAATGCAAAAGAATTTTTTTGTTTTGGAGTTAATGACCCCTTAATAGGTAAAAAAAATTGGTATGTATGTTGAATTTCTGTGTAAACTCATAACTATAAAAAAAAGGCTCCACTTCCACTTTCTTTGATTAAATGATTTATTATGACTACACTTTACCTATACCAATCCCTATAAAATGTTTTCAATCTGTATTTGTTTGTTATACTAGATCGGTATTTTCAGAATGGTTTCTTTTGTATATCTAAGACTTTCTTTTTTTTGAATTTTTAAGAGAATACTTTCAAGTCTTTGTTCTGATGTGTTAACTGAACATTCTGAGGTCAATTTTATTGGCTTACACAGATCATTTTTGACTGGATTTTTTGGTGCACATATTTTTCAAGAAGAAGCATTTTTTACTATTTACAACTTAAAAAAGCACCTGCGCTCATTACATGGGTATGGACATTTCACAGATTTTCACAGCAACAACCATGTTCTTTTTTACTATCTCAAGAAAGTTGATGTGGCAATGCTGATGCCATCTGTAGTAACCGATTTTCTTCTTACATTTAAACTGTCATGGATGATGATGAGTTTTGTATGACAGAACCACGAAGTTAAATGTAAAGAACATATCATTACTGATTGTAGGTTTGATTTGGATGAAGGCCATGTAGGGTAACAGATCAGCACAAGAAATCATGTAGCTACGGTGTGGATGGGCTGTTTGGCATGGCAACATGTACAAGGTAAAAATGATATAAGCTTTGACTTTGACTGTTGTACACATATATAAATGAGCATATTATAAGAGGCAAAATGATAGTTGCACTCTGTTGATATGTAGCAAATATAAATGATTATTACACCCTCTGGTTAACAGGTGTAAATGGTTATTATACCCTCTGGTTAAAGGGTGTAAATTGTAATTACACCCTCAAGATAACAGCTGTGAATGGTAATTACACCCACTGGTTAACAGGTGTAAATGTAATTTTACCCTCTGGTTAATAGGTGTAAATGATACTTATACTACTAACAGGTGTAAATTGTAATTACACCCACTGGGTAACAAGTGTAAATTGTAATAACACCCTCAACAGTATAAATGATAATTACAGCATCTGGATAACACAAGGAAATTATTATTACCTTCTATGGTTAACAGGTGTAAATGATACTTAATACCATTTGGGCAACAGGTGTAAATGGTAATTACACCCACTGGTTGACAGGTATAAATGGTAATTATAGTGTCTTGTTAACAGGTGTAAATGATAATTACATATACACAACCTGGTTAACAGGTGTACATGATAATTACATATACACAGCCTGGTTAACAGGTGTAAATGATAATTATATAGTCTGGTTAACAGGTGTAAATGATAATTACGTATACACAACCTGGTTAACAGGTGTAAATGATAATTATACAGTCTGGTTAACAGGTGTAAATGATAATTACGTATACACAACCTGGTTAAGAGGTGTAAATGATAATTATACAGTCTGGGTAACAGTTGTAAATGATAATTACACCTTCTAGGTAACAACTGTAAATGATAATTACACCTTCTGGGTAACAGCTGTAAATGATAATTACACCTTCTGGGTAACAGCTGTAAATGATAATTACACCTTCTGGGTAACAGCTGTAAATGATAATTACATCTGGGTAACAGGTGTAAATGATAATTACATCTGGGTAAATGATAATTACACCTTCTGGGTAACAGCTGTAAATGATAATCACACCTTCTGGGTAACAGCTGTAAATGATAATTACATCTGGGTAACAGGTGTAAATGATAATTACATCTGGGTAACAGGTGTAAATGATAA